GTTTTCAGTGCAAACGCCCATGCCCTGCTGATGTGGGAGAGGTGAGGGAGTCTCCAGGGCTGAGATCCTCAGCACTTCATCCCTTCGGCAGCATCCTTCCCAAGCTCACTGGTTCCCATGGCTGCATGGATTGGTCCAGCAGCTCTGCAGCATTGCTCAATGCTGGGCACTGGCACCAAGGTGTTGTACAGATGGCAAAGTACCTCTTATTTAATTCACTCCTGTGTGTAAATAAGGTTTATTGGGGGTGAAAAAAATGTCATGCTCCAGGTGAAATAGCCACTTCCCAGCCTCGTGCACTGGGGATGGAAAGGGAGAAGCAGAGTGTGTTGTTTGGCTGTGAAGGAAAAAGGGCTCTCTCCTTCCCAGGCAGATTTTGACAGGGTTGGTGGGAGGTGAATAGTTAGAGATAGGTGGGGGAACATTGTCTATATAGTCTCAGGATCAAAAGACCATGTACATAGATATACCACCCTGACGGTCTGAGCCAAACGGGAGCTGAGCGCAGAACTGCTGGCACGGGCGAGCTGGCTGCCAGTGAATCACTTTAATGCTCCATTTTCAGATGCACAAACACGCAGGTTTACAGTAACTGTGCATATGTTGCATCCCATTGCTCCTCATCAGATTTACTGACGCTCCATGGGTCGTAAAAATTAAATGGGCATAAATCCATCAGCCCTGGGGTTCTTCGTTGAATGCTATAAATCCCATGAAAACTAATTAAATAGGACAATGGTGTCCATTTAAATCTGGCATGTAAAAATGTAAGCCATTACCGCAGCAAAGGCAAGACTCAAAATTGATTTGGGAGGGCAAGGGCAACCCAAGTGCCCATGCCAAAGAGGTGGTGTGGGGAACATCCTAGCACTCCGTAGCCTGCAGCTCCTGACTGGGAGAGTTAAGAGATTGTGTTAGGCTCCTAAGACTGATTTCTCCTCCGCTTTGCTTTCTAAATCAAATCATCCAATTAACATATGTGCTGGAGTTTGTTGCTTGAAATGTTATCTGGCGACTCTAAAAGCTTTTCGTTATTGCTTTTTGTAGGGCTTGTTTGTTAAGCGAATGCCTTCCTCGCTGCCGTAGGGGAGCCTGTTCTGCTGCTCTTCCCTACGCTGATTAAAGCCTTCGAACAAGCAATGTCAGCGTGGATCGGTGTCGAGATCAGAGCTAACGCTTTTTGTAACGCTTGTCTGGGGTGCTACAAGTTTGCAGCTCTGCAGGGTTTGTTGCTCTTCTGTAATTTGAGTTGGGTTTATGCTTTGGAAAGGGGAGGGAAACCGAGGCAGGGAGTGGGATGGCACCGTCTGTGGATGTTTATTCAACAGGGTGGCTTGGCAGGGAGCTGAGCTTGGCTTTGCCCATGGCATCGGCCATCTCCTGGTTGTCTTTCAGGGGTGAAATAAGTGTTTCCACCTGAGCAGCACTCACCCCAGTGAAACCCTGCTCACTGGTTTTAAGGAGTCAGATGTGACACCTCCAGTAGCTTTAAATGTACAACCTGGCAAATGTACTACTGCTCTTGGTTTCGTAAATCAGACTCTTAATGACGCTTGTAGGGAGAACTGAACTCGGCAGAGCTGAGCACAGCTCAGCCACCCGCACTGCAAACAGCTGGTGTCTCCCCATCACGTTGCATGGTGTTGAATGCTTCAGGTTTCCTCTGAAATGTGTCCCCTCTGGGAATAGACCTGCGGATGTCCCAGGATAACCTGGAAGCTGGACATGGGGGTACCCCTGACCCATGCTGGGTGGATGGGGAAGTTTTCCTTGCGCTCCCAGGTGTCTTCTGCTGACGTCTGCTCTCAACTTCTCCCTCTCCCTCCCATCCTCAGTCTGAGTTTGTGCAAGAAGCTGGAAGGTGGTTGGACTGGACAATCTTAAGGTTATTTTCCAATCTAAATGATTTTATGATTCAATGAAAATGTTTGTCTGACTCTTCCCCAAGGATCAGAAGTGTCAGGGGCTTAGAGACAGGTTGCCTTCAATTTGCTTGCTTGCTCCTCTGATTTCTGGCTGTTTTCTGACCTTTCTTACTCTGGGGAGCAGCTGAGAAAAAGCAGTGAAAAGGCTTGAGTTGGAGGGAGGGGAAAAAAGTCCTCAAAGGGCAAATAATGTCCTTCCCTGGTTCCAGCCAGTTCTCAGCTGCTGCTGCAGAGCCTCATCTGAGGCGGGGGGAGATACCATCTGCTGATCACTCCACAGATGAGAGTGTGCAAGGTCCAGGAGTCAGTTACCCTCTTGTTTGTAGGGGACATGCTGGTGTTCACCTCTATCTTGGAGAAAACCCTAGCTGGGTGCTTAGATATTGCTATAATCTATTGTTTTCTCCTCTTTCTGCTTGTAGAGAATGCTGAGGTGTCGGTGGGTTTTGGGGAAGCGGAACAATGTGCACTCAGCAATAATGCTGTTCCCTGGGATCTTGCAGGCTGGAGCTGCATATATGTAAAAAAATACAATCTTTGCTATATGCTTTCTGGAGGAAAGAACTGGAAATTGGGAGTGGGAAAAGAATGATGGACTGTAAACACTTCAAGGTTTCTCAGCTCTTAGGGGTGGATGAGGGCCCTTTCCAGTGAGCTCAGCATCGTCCCACTTCCCTGGAAGCACTGCAGTCAGGGATTGAGCTGGGCTGAAAGGCATCATCTTCTCCTGCTGTTGAGCATCTGCCTGTAGGAGCTGCTGGGAATGCCTGGCAGTGACAGGGGCTTGTGCTGGCCAGTCCCCAAGATGGCCCTTGGCCCCGTTGAGACGGGCACGATGTGAACACAGACTTCACCGACTGTGAGGAGTTCATGATTGCTGCGCAGCTGGTGACAAATCCAGGGAAAATAACTGGGTTGTCCCCTTGAAGGGAAGCTGACAATCCCACACTTGCATGGTGCTTACACTTCCTTCAAAGCCTCGTTCATCCTTGTGGCATCAGCTAATAACACTAGAAATGAGTCCTGTGTGAATCGGTGGCTTGCCCAGACGTCAGGGTGATGGTGACCTTGTTTTCAGGGGGAACAAATGGTGGGGCTGGGGGATGCAGGGAATGTGCTGGTGGGATGCTGGGAGCAGGACGAGGAAAAAACCAACCCTGGGTGGGGAGGAGGAAGCTGGTCCTGTAGTTTGGCACCGGCACCAAAGAGCCTGCAAAAGAGGGGGAAGACTCAGCCAAGGTCCTGCTGTGTCCAGCGCTGCTGGTGAAAACAGGCTCTGGCTGGGGAAGGGATGGAGAAGCTGGAAAGGACAGAGAGGGACAGGACCTTCCCTGTAGAAGCAGATCTCTGATTACCTCCCTCTTCCCCAAATATGTGACGTTCCCTCCCCAGGTGGCCTGAGATCTGGAGATGTCCTGCTCGGCTGCCCCATGAGGTGACACAACCCCTCACGGCTGGCGCAGGTCCTGCTCCAGTGACCTCTGGCCAGGGCCATTTGCGGGAAGTCACCCAGCTTGTGGGGCTTGTGTCACCCGGTTAATTAGCCTTTGAGGAGGTGACTCCCCACCGGCTTACTCAGGTGACATTTAACTCTTTGCATGCCGCTACTGCTCTGCAGGGCTGAGTAATGGGAGAAGGGCAATAGGGGTTAAATCCATTGGCTGGGTTATCGGTCTCTAATTGCTTTGTTCTTTACTTGCCTGTAAAAAGCCAGTCTGGGGTCAGCAGCCCTCGTCACATGAGGATTAAAAAGCTCAAGTGAGTTAATGATGGGGCTGGTGTCATTGCCTTCCTCCTCAGATCCCTGTTTTTTCCAACTAGGGTGCTGGGGGGAGCTTCTGGCAGATGAGGGCTTGGTGCTTGGTGTCTGAAGGTGCAAATGCTGCCCAGAATGTGCTGCTTTTGAGAGACAGGAGAGTGTTTTCCTTGGTATGTCTGTGACTCCAGCCTGCAGATCTAGTGCCCTCTGTTCTCTCCTCAAAGTTCAGATTTAAAAAAGAAAACAAGGCATCTACGTTTCAGCTTGCTGCTAAATGTCAGGGCACAGTCCGGGAGAGAAATGTTCTCCAGAGCATCTAAGAAATGGGAGGGGAACGTGGAGAGAGTTTGGGAGCTGAAGTTATCAAACGCAAGCGTAGGCATGTAAGAACCAGGGTCCCATCAGGAGTCAATGAGCCATGGCCCCCCACGCCATGCGAGGGCTGTAGAAAGTCATGCCCAGCTGCATGAGGTTCCCCTGAGAGCTGGGTAAACTCATTACATGTTCTCCTCTAGATGGTTTTCCATCAGCTAAAGCAGTTTGTTTGGGAACTGGATGGCAGGACTGGGCACGGGGGAGTGCTAGCTTTGCCTCCTGTATCCCCGTGCCAGGCTTGAAATATGGGGAGAGGAGGAGCTGAGCCAGGCTGAGGCTGTGATCCCTGTAGCCAGGCTTCAAAGCACTTGCCATTGTAAGTGCTTTGCTGTAACTCAGGGTACGGGGAGCTGAATGTTCTCTTCTACTGCCTCATTTTACTTATGGCTGATACTCTTTCTCCTGAAGTATCAAAGCAGTCTCGGTGTGACAGCCTCTGCGGAACAGCTTTCATCCTGGGCAGGGACATACTTCCCCTGTCAGGTCACCCTGACCCATCTTGACCATCAGGTTGTTGGATACTCCGGAAAACACAGGGAGTCAAGATCCTCAGCTGGCAGAAATCGCCGCCAAGCTCCATGCGGCTCTACCCATTTGCCAGACGTGCATGGTTTTTGTTTGCGACCCATGGGCAAAGGAGGGAGGGTCCAAGCCAGGCTCCCAAGCAGCCCCCTCCCAGGTCTCCCCCACTCCCCTCGTGCTTTCCCGGTCCCCGCCGAACAGATGGTGCCGATTTTCATAGGGGGGTTGGAGGAAACAAAGCCCAGAGTGATGGGAGGCTGCAGCCTGTCTCCCAATCGCAGCCCGGGGGATGACATCTGTGGGGACAGGCTGATGCATGTGGGTGTCTGTGGCGTGCTGAGCCCCGTGCCGAGCTGGTGCTGACGCCTGCCCTATCTCACTTTTCTTTTTCTTTTGTTTTTTTTTGTCCTCCTTTCTAGATAAAGAGGCTTGTAGACTGTTTGCAGGGATGTTGGTGAAGCGAGCGGGCTGCGTCCCTGCCTCTGCCCAGCTCAGGACCAGAGGCTGACTGGAATCTGACATGTTGCCCCCTCCAGCTCCTGCTCCGCTGCTCGATGCCCAGCCCTGCCTGCCCTGCCCACCCTGCCTGCCCTGCCCCTAGCCTTGCTTTCCGCCAGTGATACACCCTGCTTTCCACGGGCTGCATTTCAGAGAGAGGTGGCAGTGAGTATGCTGCAGAAAGCCAGCCTGCAGCCAAAGCCCAGAGGAGTTTCCCAGTGAGGCCAGTTGCTTAAAAGCCAAAGAGTTGCCCCTTCCCCACCCCTGCGTGGATAAGCATCTCAGACAGCAAATTTCTCTGCACTCAGCGAGTGTCAAGGTCCTGGTCTGCAGGTTCGAAGAGAGGGGCTGCCATGGAAGAGAATGTGTTCAGCGTGCATCAGATACAGCCCAACGTCATCTCAGTGAGGCTCTTCAAGCGCAAGGTGGGCGGCCTCGGATTCCTGGTGAAGGAGCGCGTCAGCAAGCCGCCCGTCATCATCTCGGACTTGATCCGGGGAGGGGCTGCAGAGCAGAGTGGCCTCATCCAGGCTGGGGACATCATTTTAGCTGTCAATGGCAGGCCCCTGGTGGACATGAGCTATGAGACCGCGCTGGAGATACTGAGAAGCATCGCCTCTGAGACCTACGTGGTCCTCATCCTGCGGGGCCCTGAGGGCTTCACCACTCACCTGGAGACCACTTTTGCAGGTGACGGGACACCAAAAACCATCCGTGTCACCAGACCCCTCTGCCCAACTCCGAAGGCGGTTGACTTGTCCAACCCAAGCCTGCACGGCAAAGAGCAGCTGCTGCCAGCAGCCGACCGCACCATGGGCTCCCTGTGGACAAGAGAGATCAGGCGGGAGATGGAGCCGATGGTCCATGTTAACGGCGTCATTACCAGCAGCAAAGGGCAGGATGCTGGGAAGGGGAAGGGGAAGGAAGGTGCTTGTGGTCATCCTTGCCTCAATGGTGGCGTGGAAGACAATGAACTGCTCAAAGAAATCGAACCTGTCCTGGATCTCCTGAAGAGCAGCAGTAAGGACAGCGATGGAGATGCACCCTCCAAGGTAGAGACAAGAGATATAGAAGTCCAGGTGGACTGGTAGGTCCCTAAATACATTTTTTACATTTGGTGAAATGTGCTGGTTTTGACTACCTGACGTGGCTGGTTTGGGCGTTGGTGAGCACCTCTCCAGAAATGGCTGCTGTCTGACGCAGCAGGGTGGAGATGGAGGGAAAGGGATGGAAACAAAAGGGGAAGCAGATCATTGGGGAAAGAGAGAAGTCATGAAAAACTGGTAGTAGATGGTGGAAGAAAGGGAGGAAGATGTAAGTGTGGGAAATTGGGTAGACAGCAGGTGTAGTGTCTCAGCTGAGCTATGTGAAGAGGTGGCTTACGGGCTGGGTTGGGATTTTTCTGTTCCGTGTTCTTGATTTCATTTAAGTTTAAATAAAATCCAGTGCCTCAGTTTCCCCACCTACCGGATAAGATTCATGGTATTGTCTGTCCTTGCTATCCTGCTTTAGAGCTCTCCAGTTGAAATCTGCTATTGATTAACTGCCGGAGAGAGAGAAGGAAGGTCAGACTGGCAGAGAATGATGCTTCCCAGGAGAAATGAGTTTCAAAACCTTCTGTGCTTTTGGCAGTCAGGCTCTGGCTTGGGGAGGGGAAAGAGGACCCCCAGTCCAGCTCCAGCTGAACCTCTGTGCAAGAGCAGCAGGACCTGTCTTGGGTGCTCCTGTCTTCTGGGAACAGGAGGAAATATTTCCTGTCGAGAGCTCAGAAATGGCCATCCCTTGTTGAAACGCAGCAGCAGAGCTGCCTGCTCATCCCCTCTGCTCCTTCTAGATCAAGCTGATAATTTCAGTGTGTGTATGCATATATAACAAGGGTGGGGACATATATATGCTTGCCCTGTGGCCTGTTGAGGAGGGTGAAGTCCCATCATGTGGGTGGAATTGCTTCATTTCTGGTATCTGCTGCTGCAAGGGGCCATGCTCATGGTGTTGCCCTCCTGACCTTCCTTGGCATTTCCCCAAATACAGACCATCTCTCTGGAGCTGAAGCTGCTCCCTGTGGCCCTTCACACTTTGCAAAAATGTTGTTAGTAGCTATATTTTTGGGTACCAGCTCTCTTGCCTCCTGGCCATTTATTAGCAATGATAGGTTGCCTTTTCCTGGTGCCTTTTCCCAAGTCCCTGAATGGATTTTAGCAGTGTCAAGTGCCGCAGCAGGTTGTGGCTGCCCTCAGTTATTGACTGGCTGTAACAGCCAGGAGGCTTTTTCAGGAGGGTTCGCTGAAGCTGCTGATCTCAGTTCAGTGACAGAGGGATATGTGACTTCAAGTTCCCTTGCTGCACCTACTTCCTTAGGGAAGAGGAAAAAAAATGTTGTGATTTTTTTTTTTTTTTTTTAATCAGAAGCAATGACAGGGTAAAGGCAGAGCTGTTGGCTGCAGAGCAGCGGGATCTCTGTGGTGGGTTCCCTGCCCGGCTCGGCAGCAGACCCCAGGCTGAGCTCCTGATCACTCCCATCACAAACCAACACCCATGTGTGTTTTCCATTTTCTTTTTTTTTCATTTTTGGTTGGTTTTGCACCATCATTTCTGCTCTCTCCCAAATTATGCATTTTTTCTGTGGAGGTCACAGTTACACAAAGCCCGTTAGGGTGGTCACACTGAGTCAGAGAAAAAAATATCCGCTCAGCTTGGCACTGATGGTGGGTGCAGACGTCTGGGGAAGAGCGGTGGGACAAGGCACACTTGGGGACAGCCTTCCCTTCCTTTCCATCCCCTCCCCACCACACATATCCCCGGGTCTCACACCTTTGGCTGCTTTGGAAAATGTTGGGTTTGGTCTCTGGCTGTCCAATAGGAGGCAATTTAACCCCCAAGCCCAGAACCCTCTCTTGAAGGCTGAGGGCTGTGTGCCTTCCTACCTGCTGCATGTCCTTTAATCCAGCACCAACCCATCCTTGGTGGAACCTGATATAAGCAACCAAAGAACTGAGACCTTGAAAGGGTTGTGCTTGACTGCAGGTCCAATAAAATGTGCAGGGTGCTTAAAAATCCCCTCTGTCCCTCTGTTTTTGCTAACACTGCTGCAGTGGACCTGGGGTCATAGCTCAGCAAAACCCCCAGAGGACACAATCCCAAACCCTGATACAAGGTACAGCTTCACCTTTTAAACTGTGTCCCCCACTGTCTCCATCCTGTCTCACCAGCTACAGGGTCTCTGAGGAAATTGAGCTAGAGGGAGGGATGAAAAACGTGGCGTTTGTTTGAGGAGTCTCTTCTACTCAGAGAGAGATTAAACTGAAACACTTTGAATTCACTTAAACTGAAGGACCTTGAACCAGCAAGAACATTAGCTGGTGCGTACTTCACCAAAACTCCACTCACATTATTTTTTAATACCCTTTAAAAAAATAGTCTACGTAATCTATGTGCCTTGGGACTGAAAATCCACTTTTCAGTCAAAATTAGTCTTCAATCTTCTGCTTGATGAAAAAGCTGCCACCTCGCTCTTGTGGTAGGACTCTGTATGAACAAGAAGAGCCGAGCTCGAGCAGAGGAGTGGGAAAGGAAATATACTGCAGGGAAAACTTGTTGAGAGCCGCTCTGCAGGGTAAAGGGCATTTCTCAGCTGCCTCTCCTCCCACTCCTGAGACAGGCTGGAGATGATTCATCTCCTCAGCTTGGTCTCAGACAGAGCTGGGGCATCATGAAGGTCTTCTACAATGAGAGATTTCTTGGTCCATAGGAGAAGTGCAGAAAGGTCAGGGAACAATGGGGAGTGGATAACTGGAGAGAGTGTGTTGGTCAGTGCCAAAGAAATGCCAAAAAAAATAAGCAAGCCTTATCAGATTGATGCAGCTCTCATGCTGTAGGTTGTGACTTCTCCAGGCTAGGAGGGGAGCAAGCAAAGCCAGAATTAGTCAAAATAGGAATAGAGCTCTTCCTAGGCACCAGGAGGGTGCAAAACCTCACTCAAGGTTGATCTTGACACCTACAGCCTGGACCACTTGACCATCAATCCAGCTGGAGGCTGATCTTGGGGCGAATCCTATTCTGTCTCCATCTTCACCTGGTGCTGACCTTCACAGCCTGCAGCACTTTGTCAAAGCCAGTCCAGCTCACAGAGCTGTGACAGCTTTCCTAGGGCAGAAAGGAATGGTACAAGTTTGAGGTTATTCACAAGGAGCCAAACACTTCTTGTTCAAGGTGGGCTTTGCCAAAAGCGATTCAAATTACATCTGATACTTTGGGCTTCCAGCCCATGTCTCTAATGTTAGTTCTAAGGAAAACTGGAAACTGTGAACTTTGCATTGGGGGGAAAAAAATCAGTTCATCTCCATCCCCTGCACCCATGGTCTGCACTCCCCAGGGGAGTTGTCCCTGCAATGACCTGGCTTTTGCTCCCTGCTGATTTCCAGCTGTAAGGTTCCCTGGGTCTATGGTGTGTGCCTGCGGGATGGGCTGTGACCACGGCTGAATGTCTGCTACTTGGCTCAAGCCATCTGCGATGAAGTCGATCATGAAAGAGAGCATGGAAGTGGGGCGCAAGGTATGATGAGAGCTGGCATTTCTGCCATGAGGCTCACCGTGGGCTAGAAAACAAAAATAGAGTTTGATTCACTCACTGCCAGCTAACCTAGGTCTGTTTTTCCCTCTGAGCTCTAGGGAGATTGTCATGTCCCATCTTCCCTCCCTCTCCCCCCTCACCGAGTTGCCAGTATTTATTTTTCTTCTCGGGTCTATTCCATAACATGAACAGCATGATGGAAACATGGCAGTTTCGGTCCAAAAAGCAGCATCAGCAGCCCTGGGAGGGAGGAGTGTGCTGAGAGCAGGAATTCTGTTTATGAAGGGTTTCAACGTTTCAGGCACCATCCTGCATTGGAACAAACCCCATAATTTTGCAGTTCTCGAAGAGAAAATTCTCTTCCTCCCACCTCCTTTGCCGCCGCCAAAATCTCTTTGTGTTGCTCGAAACATTTCATTTGCATTTCTGATGTCTTCATTATTCTGTACTTGGACATGAAACTTTAAAACCTCTAAAATGAAAAGGTTCCCTGAAACTATCATGTTATTGCCATTCTGTAAAATGGTGAAGTAGGAAGCTTTGGCAGTGAAGAACCCTTCCTGTCTATCTCGGCGGATTCTTCTTCTTCGTCCCTCTGACTACATCAGTCTAATCCAGAGAGGGATTTTGTGGCTGCAAACAGCATATTCCATACAAATATACCCCCGTGGAGCCCTCTTGGACCAGTCTCTGAAGGACCCTTTACCCGCTCAGCCCCCTGTGCTGGTGCTGCTTCTTGCATTCCATGGGATGGCCATTCTTGTACATGGTCCCAGCAGACAAACCCATGACCCACATACAACCCATGACCTTGAGCTCTCCCGGCAGACCTGAACTGCGTTTGGCCTCTAAATAAAATGTGAAGGCTGAAATCCCCTGGGTGCTCTTTGGACATGGCTGGGAAGGGGCAAGTGTGGTAGCTGCAGGTTGCATCTGATGCTGGCTGAATCTTGAACAATGCCAATGGGACTTTGGGATCACTTGGATCTGTTCTCAGGTCTTTATCTGTCAAAACCTCCTCAACAACATTTACTGGTCTCATATTTCATAGGCCTCTGAGCAGCTTGCTTGGCTCATTAGTCCCTAATCCCTGCACTGGGCACAGCCCAGAGATGCTTTCGCCTTCTGAGAGCGTAAGACCTTCTTCAAGCCATGCCACGTGCTTGTCAGTGAGACATTTGTCCTCTTCCTTTGGTGCTGTTCAAGCTCTCCTTTCTCATTTAGGAAGTGGTTTCTCGCTTTGATTACTCTGCAATTGCCTGTTGCCTCTCCAGAGAGCTGCAACTGCCATGCTGCCTCTCCAGAGCATGCATCCCACCTTTTGGCATTATTCCTTCTGCTTCCAACATTCCAGCTTCCTTCCTGAGCTCTGCTCCATCCCCTGCACCCTGCAAATCCCAGCACCTGCCCGATCCCTTCTCCTGCTGCTCCCTCAAGCTCACGCTGTTGTGCCAGACCTTGCTTTAATCCCAGAGGTGAGGGGTCTGCAGCCAGCACAACACTGCAGACTGTGACCTGCCCCAGGAGCATGTTAGCAAGGAAATATTGACTTCTGAGGATGCAATGCCCTCTGGAGTATGATTTTCCATGGGGCAAAAAAAAACATGAAGCAAGACCCATTTACCCCGGCCTCTAGCACTGGAAGGAGGAGCAATGCTCAGTGGAGCTTTGCAGCCATCTCCGAGGACACACCAGGAAAGGGGAAGTAAAAAGAAGGTATTTCTCTCCCAAAGCTCAGAGCAAGCGAGGTGTGCTGTGTGAGCTTCCCATGCAGTCCCAAGCTCGAGTGCAGAGTTTTCAGCCAGCGGGACAAGGGCCTGGAAGGAGTCCATCCCTCGTGGTCACAGCACGGGGTGCTGCTATCAGCAGGAGTGTGGACATTGGCATCCTTATTGGTTCATCCGAATTGGCCCCTGGCGATTGCAGCAGCTGGTGGTATCTCTCATCTCTGCCTGGGAAATCAGAGAGATTCGTCTGCCAACTAAAATCAAAGGGGCAAAGCAACAAACTTTCTTTTTGCTCTTTTTTTTTTTTTTTAATTCTTTTTGGAAAAGCTTTGGAGAAATTTCTCAAAGGGCTGTCTCAGCAACTTCCTTTCTGCTTCATCACTCTGAGCATTGCAACATCATCAAATTAGTCAAAAGAAAGCAGTGGTGCCTCTCATTTCTCCAAACAGCCAGATGCTCTTTCCGAGGTGAGGCATCATCCAAGGCTCTGCCTTTGCACCAGTGGGGGAGGGCAGGATTCCTCTTTCTTTTTTTAAGTAACAAATTTTGCTTTCAGAACAAAAGACAACCTCAAATGGGGTCCCTTCCCAAAAACTTGCTCTGGACCCAAGAGATCACTATTCTTAGTGTTTAATAAATCCGGCAGCAGGACCAGGTCTGAGGGAAATCTTTGAATCCTGGATCTGGCCTTTGGGAGAGTTCAGCCAAACAAGTGTCTCTAAGAACAGATCTTCAGCATTGCTTCCAGTGCCTCAAAGACACTAATCTAAAGTGGTGCTTCTAAAAATCTTGTTCATTGCCCCACAGCTACCAGGTCAGGACTGATGGTGAGTCGGGGAGGATTTCTCCAAAGGCTGCTGGGAGCTGAGGGCAAGTTCTTCTCTCCCCTGCGTAGCTGCAGATGGGGCCGCTCCATGGCAGTTCCCTGGAGGTGCCCAACCTGGCTGCCTCGACACACCTCTCGGGGATCTGCACCCTCCCTGTCACCCACTGGGAACCCAAGAGAATGGCCCTTTGAGCTCTCCCATTGCTAAAGTGCTTTTGGAAACATTATCTGGGCACAGTGTTTTGGCCATCCTGCCAGTCTCCTTGAGTGTGTGAGTGGCATCCTTGTATGAATGTGGCAGGTCACCTCGCCTCTGTGCTGGGGGCTGGGGAAGCCAAGTCAAGAGAGGAAAACAACTGACCAAAAAGACCCTGTTCTGGTCTGAGCTCGCAAACAAGGCAATTATAAGAAATGGGCAGGAAATATTTGTAAAATGAAGCAATTGATTTATTTTTATTTTTCCCCTCATCTGGGGTGAGGCTGTGGCTGCTCTGAATGGGCTTTTCTCTCTCCCTGTCTCTCTCCGAAAGACAGAGCCGGATGCTTTTGGTCAGGCTCATGCAGCGGAGGTCTGCGCTAGCTCAGTGCCAGTGCATGCACCCGCAGCCCTGAGAGGGACAGACCCGTCGCCCAACACTGAGCGAACCGCAGTGCAACACCAGTGAGAGGCGAGAGATACAGCCATGAGTTCAGTCTAATGGCTTTGTCGCAGCTACGCTTGACTGTGCTTTTATAGCAGAGACTAAAGGTGAGGTCAGCACCTCGCTGCCTTCTTCATGCAGCCATAAGTCCTTCAGGAATAGAAATATGCAACCTGTTTCTGCCCCAGCTGCAAACATGCAATGGGAGGTGGAGCATTTGCTCCTGAGCATCCAACCCTTAATGCCACCTGGGCTTCACTGCTCCTCAGGACGGTGCATCTTGCTGTCGGGTGATGCTCGAGGCCAGTGAATGGGATAGGGCCCTGCTCCAGCAATACTTGCAATACACAAAATAGACAACTACAGCGATGACTTAATTCAAGCATCTGGTCTTTTTCCATGCTGTTGGCACAGGTACCAGAATTTATGGCTTTGCTGGTGTGCAGACATTGAGATTACACATGCAGCCTCCCGGCCAAGACCTCTGGCTGCTGCTGCTGCCGATTGATGGATCCTTCTCCGAGGCTTCCTCGTGCCGGCAGACACCCGTTTAGATGAGCTTGCAAACACCTTCCTGGAAACAACAGGTCATGCCAGGCGCCTGCAGGCATATGATCAGTGTCATTTTGGAGGTGCCTGTGGGATATCTGGCACACTGGGGTCTGTCTGACCAAGCCTCTCCTGTCTGCATAGAGGAAACGTCTGTCCCCCTGGGGCGGCACCGTGGTCCCCCAGGAGGCAGATTCCTGCTGCTAAGTCCCAGGCACCAGTAAAGCCAAGGGATTTCTTCCATCACCTTATGGATTTAGTGGTTGTGTCTTGATTTTGGGCCAGTTATAGAGAGCAGCATATAGGGGATCATCAGCTACAAGAGATGTATGCCCATCATTTCAGTGACTCTGTGTTGACCTACCTCAATTCTCTGTGATGTGACAGGGCTCAGGGCAAGAGGACAGATCTGTTCAATAGCTGGCTTTGACTTAGAGGGAAGAGCCAGATTTGCCGAATTTTCAACCTGCTAATTCTCTGTCTTACTGTTGGGAATTCTCTTGATGGAGATAGGCTGGATGTGTCAAAAGACCCTAAGCTTCGCCTTTAGATGGGCTGGTAGAGGGCAGAGGGTACTGTGTGCTTCATGGCTGTCTCCAGCCGTGGGAGCTGTGTGGCTGCTGAGTGCTCCTGGCAGCACTGCCACCGTGTAGCAGAGAGCCAGGACCTGTTATCTTTGGCTGTGGCTTTGTGGTGTGGTGCAGCGGGTGGGGTTTCTGGTGTTTTATCTTACTGAAACCCTTTCACATACTCACAGGAGCCAAGTCACAAAAGAACAGCTTTCTTTTCCTGGTGGGGGTATAGAAAACCCAGTAAAAACTGCCCCTATGACACCTGTACCTCTTTGCTTGCACCAAGCTGGCCACTTTCACCATAGGGCAGCCAATGTTTGGAAGGTGTCCAGGAGCCTACTGTAATATTTTGGCAGCTGAACACTTTTCTGTAAAGGCAGAAAAATTACAGGAAACTTAGAGCACAGGGAGATCATCTTTAAGTGAAGTATTTTCCTTAAACTGTACCTAAAGATATGAGCTGGGAGGAGATGAAGACTGTGAAACTGAATTTGTATGTATGTGACTTCCAGAGACAGTGTCAAGAGCACCGTGCTGGTGTGAATTATGTCCTGAGTGCAAGTGTCCTACTTTGGTCAGTGCCCAAAGCCCACCATCATTAATGGGAAGGCTCATTACTGACTTCAGTGGGCATCTGGAAGACTTTTAAGAACTGACAGCAGGAGCAAAACAATTGCCAGAGTACATTACCTTGATGGTCTGCTGAGCCAGGGTGAAGGCAGCGTGGCTGCAAGCCGCAGGGCTGTGCCCATCCTGTCCCATGGCCCCATGTAGCCCAACCCACAGAGCTTCTTCCCACGTGTGGACTCACCAGGGCGGTTGGTGCCTTCGGCGCGGATGCTGCAGCCTGCCTTCCCTGAATATCACGTCTCTAAACCCCATTTGTTTTTCTCCTTCGTGAGGGCTCATATGGCAGTGGTTTTCCATCACCTGCTTGGATGGCATTTAACAGCCTCACTGACATCCCACAGCACGTTCCCCAGGCAAAGCGTGTGCGGTAGACTGTGCGCTGTGAGTTACACCAGTCTCACTGCACAGGCCAGGGCAGCCAGTGCTGGGGACATCCTCAGTCCCACAGCATTACCAGTGTCCTCAGCTCCATGGAGGCAATCCATCACTTTACTTGAGTAAAATCACTTACATTCACTGGCATTTGCAGCATTTGTAAAGGTCAGGAAAAGGAGAGAGAGCTGTCTCTTCCTCCTGGGAGCCACCTATTTTTTCTTGGTTTTCTTCCCTCTCCTCTGCTCATAAACATCATACTGCTCGGCAGACCCAGCTGGTTTTGCTATGAGGTTTTGCAGCTGGAGGTGTGTGTGTCTCTCCTTTCCCCAGCTCCATGCTGGCTTTTGCAGGGCTCCAGCTTGGTTTGCAGGGTGCAGAGGGTCTGGTGTGTAACCCTGCTAGAGCCAGCATCGGGGCAGGGGTTTCCTGTTGTTTTGTAGGCACTGTGCTTGCCCATGCAGCGAAATTTCTATTGTGTTTGAGTTGCCCTCACCACAATGATTCATTGCCTCGGCTGAGGCAGAGCGTTTCCTCCCCTCCTGCAGTTTTCACTCCTGTGGGAAGCAGCTGGAGCTGGTCCTGAGCCATCACTCCAGGTCCTGACCTGGCCTCACGGTCCCAGCACCCAGTCACCCTCCAGCTTGCTGACCCAAATGGTTTTTAAACTTTCAGTTTCAGGGAAGGGGAAAACAAGCCACAGAAAGCCTTACCGGCTCGGATGGAGAACGACCGTGTCTTCGGTGACCTGTGGGGGAAGAGCAACGTGCCTGTGGTCCTGAACAACCCCTACTCTGAAGCGGAGCAGGTAAGAGCCCATGGCTTCAGCTGCTTTGGGTGGGAAGGAGGTTTGGGAGTACATGACCCATCCTGGTGGGCTCTCACACCACAGGGAACCTGCAAGGACCACATGCATTACCCTGAAAACCTCTGATCTCAAGAGCTGGAGTTGATGGGGCATAGAGCCCGTTTGATCCAAAAGCTGAATTTTCCGTGGTTCGGGCAGGGCATAGGTCACTGGAGGATGATGTTCTTCATCCCAGGAGGCAGAGTGGGATGGGAGTGCAGCCAGGGACCAGGACTCTGAAACTTCCCTTGGCAGTGTTGTCTCTTTTTGTGGCAAAAAGCCAATTGCATCGTTAAAGTCATTTTGATTCATAGGATGGTAATTCAATAGAGCACTTCAGATATTATGTTGTACGGTGCCTTTTCATCTCCTCACATTCCAAGGATATAAATTCTCAGGCTTCTTTGCCAAAAGTGGATTAACTCCACGCTTGTATCAAAGCAGAGACGTAAGGCAGGCCCTGCCAGGCCAGAAAGATCACCTCAGAGAAAACATGACGTGCGTGAGCACTGCCACGCCTGTTTGGGCAAATGTGTCTTCCTGATGGGATTAACCAGCAGCAGGGCAGGACATGGGGGACCAGTCTGGGGGCCATTTGGTGTCCTTTGCCCCATCATATTTCTCAGGGTGACGTAGTAAGTATTGTTTTCCAAGGGAGGGGAGAAAAGTGATTTAGTGGTTACATGGAGACTTCTGAGAAAAACAGTGTTTCCTCAGCTCAGAAATGTCCTCAGCAGATACCTCTGGCTGATGCCTCTTCCCAGCTCCTATGAGCTGCAATGCAATGTTACTTGCTGCCATGCCACGTGCAGCCCACCACAGGTTGCGTGCCACTCGTGGTGTGGTTGGCACCTGGGTGTTGAGCCTGGCCTTGATACCCAGCAGTGACCAGCAGCACCTCCCAGGCTATGGCTTTGCCAGTGGATGTCTTCCCATTTCACAGGAACTTTGCCAGATGCAAACTCAGAATCAGGGCGTGAGGTCACATGAGGTGACATGGTCCCTTCATGCCCATGGAGGTGACATGGTCTTGGCTGCGGTGCTTTAACTCAGCCTGTGCCCTGTGCCGGGAGCCCTGCTGCTTCTCCTGGGACTCCGGAGAGGAATGATGGTCACACGCACTTTTGCAGCACACACAGTGTTGGAGGCTCATGGGCCCGCTGTGCGGGTGCTGATGCACACGCAGGGTGGCTGAGGTGCTCCTGACCATGCCAGACTTGCTGCATGGTTTTAACCAACCTGGTCAGGTGCTTAGGTGCCGTTGGGAGCGATTTCCATGCTCCCCTCGCCTGCCTGCAGCTCAGGATTGTGGTCAGGTCTCCCAGCATCACAGACAACCATACAGTGGGTATGGTCATCCGTTGGCACACACAAATGGGTGCATCTGAGACCTGGAACACACTTTATTCAGCTGCTGGAGAAACATCCCTGGGCAGCCCCATGTCCCGCCGTGTGGTTAATGCACTATGGCAGGTATCACGAGCCCATCTCACCCAAGGACAGGTCACTGCTCTGGTCCCTTTGCTCCAGCTGTGGAAAGACACCATCTTTCTGCCTCCATTCTTAAGCTCCTTGCATGTACATGTCTGTTACTATAAGCACTTTATAACCTTATAGTTCAGAGGTAATTGCTCTCCGTGTTAGGGCTGACAAAACCCTCAGTCTTAAGCTGCTATTAAACTCTTTAATTTTTTTATTTTTTTTTCACTAGATGTACAGCTTTCTTTTTATCCTTCTTATCCCCAGATCAGTATGCCTGCTCTTCTGGAGGCAGTCTGGTTTTTCCCCCCCGCTCCCTGCAGTCATTCTTGCGGGCTACAGGCGGTCAAGGCAACTGAACTTCTTGCAAGCTGCAATAAATACTGTTAACGTAGGGGCAAGTCAAGCCAAGTGTGAGCTTTTTATACACGTTGTTCTTTAAAGCAGGATTTGATGGATTCACTTGGCCAGGTGGGGAATGCTCACTGAGGCTCGTAATAAGGTGCTGAAAGACCCATTGGGCACCAATCTCTATCTCTTTTTTTTTGTGAAATCAGGCAGTGTGTTTTGCTTGTTTCCCAGGAGCCCAATCCCCCAGCTCTAAACCAGACCGATGGGAAAATGGTGTGATTTGCACCAGCCTAGGTCCTGCATGAGTCGTATTTCGGTCTGTACAGATTGATTTGTTAGGAACTCCAGGGTAACCGGGGAGGGGGGGTGCTGTATGCCCATGTAGCTAGCAGAGGAATGGAGTCATATCAGCTCCACACTTGTAAGGATGATTTACAACTTTATAAAAGCGAAAACCACGCTTTCAGCTAGCGGATTTAATGCAGTCTGGAAGGAAATGTCTGCATGCCAGTATATGTCCGTATATCTCTTACCTGGGCTAATGCTGCAGACCTCGTCCACCCACAGTCAATGCGTTTCAGCAGCACAATAAGTGCCATCGCCGCTGGGACTCCCAGAGCCGAGATGGGTCTCGGGAGGAAGGCTGAGGACATATAGAGCCCACTCGGATCTGCAAAAATGAGCTCCTCCCTGCCGTTCTGGCCCCAAGAAGCGCCCGGGGCTGGGTGTATTTCTCCCCTGCATCTGTAAGAGCTGGAGACAGCTTGCAAGCTGCACGCTGACGATAAGTGCCAACACACTCCCTTGTAAAAGATGTTTGCATAATGCATGTGTACCCCTACTGCTACGACTGCTACGTTAGTCTCTCCGTTTGTCCCACTCTTGAGTCACTAATATCACAGCTGCCTAATTAAAACATGAAAGGATCTCACACAAACACCCTGACAGAACCAGGGGTAATATTTGGCTCCAGCTTTGCCATGCAGAGAAGGCATACACGCACACACACAGAGTTATTTCCCAGTCTCTTCTGGGTGTCACTCTCTCCACAGCTGCTCTGTGGTGTAGTTGCCAGACCTGGCACCTCTGCTTCTTGGAGGTGGTGTCACCTCGGCTGCTCCAGCCCGGCTGGCAGCCCAGGGATTCGGCATGCCTCTGCACCATGGCCCTCCTTCAGCAAAGATTCAAACTTTGCCAGTTCCTGCAGGGAAAAGACAAAAAGGAAGTGGAGCAGCTTTGAGGGAGAATTTTAAGGTTGAACATCTATAGGCAGATGTTAAGCATCTGACGTCCACCAGCTTGGACCGTGAGCTTGCTCGCTCCAGCAGTGGGGTCATTGCTACATCTGGGTTCATCACACGCTCTTGGGCCGTACCTGCTGTGTTTATCAGCACATCCTCTAAGCTGCACTGGAACCCTGTCAGCAAATCAAAACTAACGCAAAATAAAAAAGTGGTGCTGGATGCAGCCACCAGTTTCTGCTTGGTACATCTGATTTCTGTCTGGCAGGTGGAGGTACAGGTGAGGATTGCTTTTGTTTGCATTTTTCAGCAGTAGTTTTAAGCTATGTTTTACCAATCTTATAGAGCTGCTCTGAACAATCATGCTCAGAAGGGAGGTGGCAGATTATCCCCCTTGGTCCTAAGGGTGGCCCAGGTTGATTCAGAGAGCACAGCATGCTGTTAGTGGCTCAGGAATAGTTTAATTCTCTTTAAAAAGTAAAACAAGCACCAAAAAATTTACCAGGAACTGCCACTGCCATAATTTGTGTCAGATTCCCCAAAACTGAAAAAAATTAACCAAAACCCAGCATTTTTCCAGGACTACATTGAGGATGTTCTTTTTATTTACTGCTGGTTTTGGGCTCTGTATGAAGCCTTATATTTGTTTTCTGCAACATGGAAACGGGAAGCTGAGATCCACTGTGTGGTCATCTGGCTTCAGGGTCTAGGACTTTAAAATGCTCCATAGGAAGATCACAGGATTTGTGACATGAGGAATGTCACAAAGACGGTGACAGCATAGCCTGAGGGCGTGCAGAGAGCAGCTTCCAAAAACCTCGAGGACCAAAGAGGGTCCTACCAAGGGGTCAGGGTGTAAAGCTCTCCCTTCCCCTCCATCCTCTGCGTCTTGCTCCCAGCATATACTTTCAGTGTATGGTATTACACTGTGAGCCTCAGGCTGCTTGACAACAAAATCCCTGTTTTCCAGGAGAAAAGAGTGTGGAGCATATGGTGAAAACAAGGACTGCGCAAAAAATATGGCCAACATTGCCACCAGGGCAATGCAGTGGTGTCTGCTCAGCTCAGGCATCAGTCTCACAAGTAGGCATCAATCTCTCTGCTTCGGGAAAGTAAAGCAATCCTTTGTCTGGCAAAGTAAGAACAAGTTAGATCTGGAGCCTCATGTGCTTTTGTCATTCTGTGACCCCTGTTGCTTTCCCTTCTGTGTTTGCTCATCAGCAAAAGTGCTTGTTCTGAAACAAGAGCTTCTTCCACGGAGTGCCAGCTCTATTTCAGTTGGTCCTTCAGGCTGTAGTGCTGGATTTGTACTATTGCTGCTAGTCCATGAGCTGCAACGGTGACACAAGCCCAGAAACACCAAAAAGGAGAGTGAGACTGCACAGCTCTGCTGAAGGCAGTACTGTCTTTAAAATACCTTGCAGATGTATTAGAAAGGGACACAAGCTACAGGATCCATGTAGGATCAAACTCAGTCCAAGCCCAGGTCTACGTTGCAGAGACGCAAGCCTTTAAGTGGTGCCAAATATAATCAGGTTTTGACAGGGCACTCTGGAGTGGGATCAGGTCTCCCCTTGTAACCTGCAGCAACACCATTATGGCTGAAGTGACCGAATTAAATACTACTGTAAGATCTGTTTCCTAGAAAAAATGTCTCTGCTTTCCAGGGCCATTGCAGATCTCACTGTCCCATGATACACTGGCATACACGGATTACTCTTTAAGATTTGAAGTGCTTGGGTTAATAAGGGTCACAGTAGAAATACTAGATATTAGCTGTGAAAACATGTGCAAATACAAGCACTTGCAGCCAGCTCTTCTCATTACAAGCTCTCTGCTGTCTGCGGCTCTTCCTTACATTGGATTGTAACTCGAGATGTGCTGGAGGAGCACACCCTGGCGCAGAGTGTGCTGGAGGGAGGGCTGGAGATTCAGAGCTGAGACTGAAGTAACCCAACTTCGCATAATTCAGCAGCCCTCCCACTTGCATAATTTATCCATCCTTATTGCTACAATCTTCCAGCACTGATATCAAATGAGATGTGCCTTTGGCTTGCTCAGAGGAACTATTAGCTCTATCTCACAGTGCTCGTATGAGTGAGGCAGAGCTTGGCATGTGTAAAACCTGAGCAGATGATACTCCTTAAAAGGAAACATTTAATGTATTTTAGAGAGGTAAGTCTTCCCCTGGGAAATGTGAACACAATTTTTTCCTAAGTCACTTCTGTCTCTGTTTTTTAACTCCTCTTCTACAGGTTTGGCTGTTCTGTAAACAGAGATGACTTCTCAGTTGCACTGAGATTTAGTTCCTCCATTGTAGCATCCCAAACACTGCCAATATTTGGATCATATATCTTGTATACCTTGTCTCTCTCTATGTTATCACTAAGATTGAAGCACAGGCATCCATTAATACAAGACACTGCTTGTCATTGTGGCCTCTTTCCAGTATCTCGTTGATGAATACTAACCTTGTGCCTGGTCCTCACTATTTTCCAGCCACCACCATCTGGGCGGCAGTCCCCAACTAAGAACGCAGTGAATGGAAGTCCTTCCAAATGCCCACGGTTTGTCAAAATCAAGAACTGGGAGACAGGCTCCGTTCTTCATGACACTCTGCACCTCAAGACAGCAATGGTGAGTAGAGTTGATAGCGCTGACCAAAAGTTGTCTGAGCATAGTTGAGTGGATCACAGTGTTTCCAAGATGGCTTTACCTGGAAATGCAGAACTGGACGAATTCAGGTCAGTCTTCTTGTCTCACCTCTGGTGCAATAAGATGGGTGAGAGGGAAGCCCATCTGGGGTAAATCAGGAAAACATATGACTTTATGCCAGTCTGGGGCAAGAATCTAGTGATCCCCAATTGTCCGTATCAGGTGGGACAGGAGATGACTGCACATGCTTGAGCTGTCTTACACAACGTTACTGATAGGTGTGAAAACAAATGTCCCTGTTTGTCAAAGATGCCACCTACCTCTGCATAGCTAATTGTTGACTTCCCTCAGCCCAGGTCATGTAACAAAAGTGCTGCAGTAACCCAAGACACACTTGTCTCCTTCTGTCTCATCAGACCACGGCATGCACCGAGCAGATCTGCATGGGCTCAGTAATGACCCCTAGCCAGCATGTCCGCAAGTCAGAAGATACCAGGACAAAAGAGGAGGTGCTCCTCTTGGCTAAGGACTTCATTGACCAGTACTACTCCTCCATAAAGAGGTAAGCACTGGATGGAGAAGGTCACAGGCCCTGACTGCTGCTTATGCTGAGATGTCACATATGAGCTGATCTTTCACGGTTGCGAGTCAAAGCAGGGTGAGACTGTGGTGCTCCACATACAGCTGCTTCTTCAGGGGATTTTCATTCCTAGAATTTGCCTCTGTGCAAAATACTGACCTCTCCCATTTGCATTTGAGCATCTGTTATCTGAAAGCACACACACGTGTGTGTGTGTATATCTGCACACATGTCCTTAAGAATGAAAGAACTTATGCCCAGGTGGAGAGCAGAAGGATTCCCTGCCCTCTACTCAAGCTGGTGACTGCCGTCTCCTCTGTTCCCCACACATGCAGATCTGGCTCCAAGGCCCACATGGAAAGGCTGGAGGAAGTGACCAAGGAGATTGAAACCACTGATACTTACCAGCTGCGGGACACAGAGCTGATCTATGGAGCCAAGCATGCCTGGAGAAATGCGGCCCGCTGCGTGGGCAGGATTCAGTGGTCCAAGCTGCAGGTGAGCACCAGCACAGCTGGAGACAGCTGGCAGGTTGCCTGCCAAAGGATGCACTGGAGTTTTGGAGAGGAAAAACTTGCTCTTCAGATACCTGGGGAAGCACAGCACAGGTATGTTGGGGGTGATCAGCACACAGCAGCTACGCTCTCCTTGACAGCTTTGGGGATGCACAGGATGGGAAGTCAGCAGGAGCTGGAAAAGCCTCTGTGGGGTAGGTGTAGCCTAGGTGTCTGTCTGAAGCTGGGCCAAGTGGAAGTTGGCACTCCAGAGAAGATTTTTCAAAATCAGATACTGCTCCAATATCTTATGTACTGCTTCCAAAACTATTGCTCTGCCTGGAGAGAGACAGCAGAACACACTCATCCATGCTACAGAGATGCTATGGCAGGAGAAGATTTGGCTCAGTGCCCTTTTGACTATCTGGGAGTGTAAGATAGGAGTTGAATTAGTGATCTCTTGTGGAATCCCTTGGTATGGAGGTGACGTCTCCCTCTGCTCCCATAGCTGAAGTGCTGCTGAGCAATTTCTGTGGCTGCTTCACCCACGGTGTAGGCACTGCCTGGGGCTGAGAGGCTGGGCCTCCTTTGCTCCCAGATAAGCCTTCAGCTCTTCACTTCCACTGTTTCTTTTGGCATATCTGAACCATAGGAAGAGCACTTTCCGCAAGAAGTTGTCTTCAAGCCTCCTGTTGACCCTCTTTTCTTGTTTCCTCATCCTTTTGTAGGTGCCCCATCCCTGGAAACATTCAAGGCTAGGTTGGACAGGGCTCTGGGCAACCTGATCTAGTTGAAGATGTCCCTGTTGACTGCAGGAGGGTTGGACTAGATGACCTTTAAAGGTCGCTTCCAACCCAAACCATTCTATGATTCTATGATTCCCTGTCCTTTCAGTGGATCTCAGGCCTGACTGCTACTTGTCCTATGGCAGCCTTGAGTCTTGATCTACAAGAGACAAAGTGCAGAAACAAAACTGTTGGTGGATAAGCCAGGAACAGCAGCAGCTTGAGAGCACTGGACTGAGGAGGTTTTTGCCTGAGTAGCAGATGACTCGCCTCCCCAAAGCAGAAGGGGCAGCTGGATTAGACATCCATGTGTGTAAGGGCAGGGAACACATAATTATGGAGCTTTAGATACCTAACAAGTCATGGTGGTTTCTAGGGCTTTCCCAGTGCCGTGTTTCTTCTGCTTGACTCTGCCCTAGGAGTCGAAGCATCCTGTAGCATCACCATAATTACTTCCACTGTTTCAGGTGTTTGATGCCCGGGACTGCACCACAGCCCATGGGATGTTCAATTATATCTGCAACCACATCAAATACGCCACCAACAAAGGGAACCTCAGGTGAGCCACCGGGAAGTCACCAGGATTTACATCCAAAGGCCTCAGGATGTGTGTCAACCCAGCTCTGGGACCTGCTGACTGTCTCCTTTAGCAGCCACTGCACAACAGGGTGGTTGTAGCCAGTGCCTGTCCTGGGGAGTGTTAGAGGGACCTGATATCAGGGGAAGGTGTTCTGCTGGTCCAAGTATATCTCTTCTTGCTCTCTGTAGGACCTCAAAGGGCAGATTTTCCAGTTATTTCTTCTTTCCTATATTCTGCATCAAATGCAGAGCACAGACTGCTCTCCAGATCTGTCTGAAACCCCATGTTAGCAGCCAGCTTCTGTGCAAATCGCTGGAAACACCCCAAATTCCAGAGCTGGAGTGCACCTGGCCGTGACTTCTTCCTGTGAAGGAAATATAATAAATGCTGGGGGCTTGTCCGAGGTACAAGCTGAGGTGGCGCACACGTGGTGGCAGTCAGGGGCAGCACCCTTCCCCCACAGCACTTTGCTGTTCTTCTGGTGACCCCTGTCCTGTGCCCTTGCAACATCCTCGGCATTCACCGGCACTGCCTCTTCCTTCCAGATCTGCTATCACCATCTTCCCGCAGCGGACGGACAGCAAGCACGACTTCCGCATCTGGAACGCCCAGCTCATCCGCTATGCTGGCTACAAGCAGCCCGACGGCACTATCCTGGGAGACCCTGCAAACGTGGAACTGACGGAGGTACCGGCTGAAGCCGTCATTCCTGGGCACCATGGGTGCGGGGCTGGCCGGGGCATGCAGAAATTCGGACCATCCCAGGAGTGAGAAGGGTGCTGGGTCAAGCAGGGTTTATCACATCCACTGCAGTGCCACAAAGCAAAACTGGATTTGTCTCACCCTCAGACATTTTCCCAGGAATAAAAACTGTTTCCACACATGCAGGAGTTGGCCATAGCTGCACTGAAAGGCTCTTACCTCATTTTCCTTTTGCTGAGGAGGGGTCAGTTAGGGGTGCTGAGGGAGCTGTAGCAGGACAACATGTGTGCCCACTGCTGACCTGAGCCAGCGGGAATCAGAAATGAGATTTGCCCTATGCTGCTGCCTGCCCACACAGCACCAGTGCTCTGCTCAGCTCTTCCCAAACTGCTCTGCTTTTCTCCTTCACTGTTACAGACACAATTAGGGTAAGCAGCTTTTTCAGAGCCATGATCCTACCTGGGGATTTAGTTCTAGGCTCATTTTCATCCCAAATCCCTCTTAGTTGGCCATGGGTTGGCTGTGACAGGCAACCCCATGTCATAGCTCCCTTGGATGGTGGTTATTACTCAGCTGTAAGGGCTGAGCAGAGATGCTGTTAGGAGACCCTGCTCAGTGCCATGCGACTCCCTGCCCATAATGCTTGAAGATCAGGTGATCTGGTGGGACTTGTAACCCCACCTCTGTTTTGCCTGTAGATCTGCATTCAGCAAGGGTGGAAGGCACCACATGGGCGCTTCGATATCCTGCCTCTGCTTCTTCAAGCCAATGGCAATGATCCAGAGCTCTTTGAAATCCCCCCAGAGCTTGTGCTGGAAGTGCCCATCCGTCATCCCAAGTAAGTCAGAGTAAGCCCTGAAACTGCTGCAAGACTGAGCTCCTCTGGTTTCCCTCCAAGCCATCTCCTGTGCTTGGCCCTTCCTTCTTGTGGCTTGGGTGCTTTACCCAGGACTCTCTTCCAGGTCTTCCCTCCACTCTGAGGGAGGAGCTGGCAGACCCTGGAGGTGGAAAGCAAGTTGCGTCCTTGTCTCAGGGCTGGCTTCAATTTCCTTGAAGTCTGCCGGGACTTACACGCTCCTGATATATCCCTTTCTCTCTGTAAACAGCCCCTCAGGGTAATATTGCCTCCAGGAACTATTCTGTTCACATGTCCTTCAGCCTGGTGGCTGGTAGCAAAGTAACCTCTTCCATTCCCCTGCCCGCACTGAGGAATGACTGATTGTCTCACCCTGTTGTATCCTGGCAGGTTTGAATGGTTTAAGGACCTGGGCCTGAAGTGGTATGGTTTGCCAGCAGTTTCCAACATGCTCCTTGAGATTGGTGGCTTGGAGTTTTCTGCCTGCCCCTTCAGTGGCTGGTACATGGGCACAGAGATTGGCGTCCGGGACTATTGTGACAACTCTCGCTACAACATACTGGAGGTAATTCTCCCTCCTCAAGGAGGCCAGACACTCCTGGGGTGCAGTGGGGATGTGTGAAGTTACTGGAGAGAGGCAGGACACTGGGAAAGTGTTGCCTTGAGTGGGAGAGTATAGGACATTCAAGTGACCCTTAGGACAGTTACGTTCTCCTGGAGCTACATGGCCAAGGGTACGATAGGCTGGCAAGTTTTTTCATGTCCTAAGGGGCCAGCTGATATCTAACAGAGCAAGTGTGATGCCTGTTGAGCTCCCCATAGATTTCTCAAAGCATCTTATGGATCACCAGGCACCTGGTCACGTGTTTGATTGAGGTCAAGTGCTATGGTGGGGCTGGGTGGGTGTCAAGACACTTGGTGACTCCTCAGGGACATGTCTGCCCATGGGGACCCTCCAGCTGGCTCCTCTGGGGACTTGCCACACTGGGGACAGGGTGAGTCGAAGAAAAAGCCAATCCATGGGGAAGTACTGGTGTGGAGAATCTGCACCCACCAAGGATGGCTCCTTTGCCCATTCAAGGGGCATGCTATCTCCCCAGTTGTTTGAGACCTCATTTGGATACCAGAGGGGTGAGACCAAGTGTGTGTGTGTGGGGGGGGAGGACTCCAGGTAGAAGAAATGAGAATAAACAGAGTTTGGGAGCAGAAGGAGGTCTGGTATGGGGAGGGGTGCAAGGGTCTGTTCCTCCCAGCACATGGATCACCACCATCATCTGCTGTCCCATGGACCCACCCATTTCCTCTTCTCCTACAAAGAGCAACTGCTCTTGATGGACCTTTTCATCATTCAGCCATCTTGATGTGCTTGGGGGAGCAAGGGAGGCCAGACTGGTCTTGCTCCTGTCATGAAGAGGAAAAGGCAGGACCACATCTCAGAGGAAAGCAAAATACCAGCCCTTCATTGCAAGTGTGCTGCCCTGCCTTGCACATGCCTTGTGTCAGCCTGGGTCGCTTCTCTGGGTTCCTCCCCCCAGAGACCTTCAGCCCTTGGTTCTTGGCCATTAAAAGCATCCACCTTCTACTATGTTTTGTTACAGCAAGTGGCCAAGAAAATGAATCTGGATATGAGGAAAACCTCTTCACTGTGGAAGGACCAGGCTCTGGTGGAGATCAACATTGCTGTGCTGTACAGCTTCCAGGTACCTGAGCAGCAGGACTCCCTTTTGTTTGGGTCAGGCTTGAGGGACACAGGGACTGGATGGGACAAGTATCAAGACATCTGTCCAAGGACAACAGCAGCAGCTGATACACTCAGCTGAAATTGGGCTGTGATACAGAGAAATGATTACTTGTTTTGAGCCTTATTTACTTAATAATTGCCTTCCTAATTTTGGGCTGTTCCAGGAGCCTGCAGTGAAATTTAATAATCTCTGTGCCCTGAATATTGTAGAAACAGTGCTACCAGCACCTGAGCTCTGCTGGTCCAGAGGGAATGCCCCAAGGGGGCAAGATCCAGTCCTTCTGTCTCGTCCATGAGGCATGAATTGGCCCATGTTCTCCCCCTGCCTACACTTAAAGGTCGGTAGCAAAACTAGACCTTGGCAACCCAGCTTCAGAGGGTGGGAGTCCTTCCCCAGAGCTGGATCAGAGCTGCCCCTTGAGTTGAAGAAACAGCCATCCCATAGCATATCTACTCAGAAAGAACAAGGGCAGCTTTACAGCCTCCTTGGGAAGACCAGGGTCAACAGCTGCCTTGTGCCATCTCCAAGGGTACCGTCCTGTGGGACCATGGGCGTGAAACATATTTGGGTCAAACAGCTCCAAAAAGTAAAATCTTGTCTTTCATCTTCTGGGGTGTATTAACCCACAGCTGTTGGCTCTGCTCTCTTCTCCCCCCAACAGAGTGACAAAGTGACCATTGTGGATCACCACTCAGCCACTGAGTCCTTTATCAAGCACATGGAGAATGAGTACCGATGCCGTGGAGGCTGTCCTGCTGACTGGGTGTGGATTGTCCCACCAATGTCTGGCAGCATCACCCCAGTTTTCCATCAGGAAATGCTCAACTACCGTCTCACACCCTCCTTTGAGTACCAGGTACTGTCTGCAACCCTACCTTCCACCAGTGCTGCATGTCCAGAGGTATAGCCAAGAGCAGGGTGGTACATGGAGCTCAGAAGATGCAGGAAGGAGAGGGAACCATCTAATCCCTTCAACAAGCTGGCCCTTGAGGCAGTGAAGTCCATGAACAAGTCTAATTGGTGATTCCCCCTAATGTGGTGTAATAACCCCTTGAATATTACACCTTTTTACAGGGGAATGGCTTTTTGCCTCTTCATGGGAACATGAGACGCCTGAGGCTCCAACTTTTACCCTTGGAAGCAGGACTAAGTAGAGCTGCTCCCTTTGGAAATGCCTAATTTTGCACTTTGATGGCTAGATGAGGAAAAGACCTCGTAGTCACCGTATCCCTCCTCTTCTCCAGCCTGCAGGTTTGAGTCGATGACTCCTGCCAGCTTGGGGATCCAACAGTTTGATGGGGGGGGCTCCTGCCCAGCAGGCCAAGCAGTGTGCTGAAATGGTGCTGGAGTATTTAACACTTCAGATCATGGGAAAAAGGCCCTTAAGCAAACACACCCTCATTAGCCAACCATCCCAGCTCCTGTGGTTTTCACACAATGTGACCTTTAGTCAAGAGCCCTTAAGGAACAATCACAAAACAGGAGCAGTCTGTTCATTTCCATAACCAATCCACCAGGAACCCCGAGGGTTCCTGGCCCGGATTACAGGCAGCCGCCTGCGAGGGCACTGAATTAGCTTCTGTGTGCTTGTTCCTTGCTTCAGCTGCCTCCCCACCCCAAAGGAGCTCTTCAGAAAAAAAATAACCTGTGGGCTGAGGAGGGGGAAGGATGTGTTTCCATTTCCTCTCTCCTTTGGGTGTTGCCTGTCTTCTTTTTGCTTGTGGCCTATTAATGTTCATCTCAGAGGTGAGAAAGCATTTGGCCAGATGCTGTTACAAGCCAGCAAGGTTTTATTATATTGCAATTTTTCTGTGCATACCCTGTTGCCTAACTGCCCCAAGAAGCCCATGGAGCTCCCAGGATCCTATACAGGAGATAGAGAGCTGTGAAGAGGCCAGCTAGTCTTTCCCTTCATGACTAGAAGAATTCAGTGCTCAGGGCTGCAGATAGACCGTTCCTCAAAGCTCTGAGCACTGCCCATCAGCTGTTGCTCTTCTCTCTCCTAGCCGGACCCCTGGAACACCCATGTCTGGAAAGGGGTCAATGGGACACCTACCAAGAAGAGGGCCATTGGCTTTAAGAAGTTAGCCAAGTAAGTACCAGTGGCCTCTGAAGAGAGCTCGAGTGTTTGGCGCCGATCCTGGTTTTGGGCAGCTCTGTTTCCTCTGCTGTTTGATAGCACAACCCTATGGATGTGTGCAAACTGATGGGTTGTGAGCCTGGATCTCAGGCCACTGGAGGCTTTAGATGCCAAGAGGGACATCTGGAGAAACATGCAGTCCTTTGAACACGCAATTAGAGCACCAAAGGGTGCGTAACCAGGTGATTACCAAATGTTGCATATTGCGTCTTCTCCCAAGCTGGTTCATCCTCTAGTAAGGTGATCTTCAGTGCTTGGGAATGGCTTTCTCACTTCTTGGGGGTACATTGACTGTACATCATCTTTCAGAGCCTCCTGGGGCAGAGAGATCACCCACCACTGCTGCAATGCTGCCACAAGTGACATGAAATTTGTGTCCATATTTCTTTTTTTCTCACCGAGTCTTTACCTACTTGTGGAGCAATTGTTTCCAGGGCGTGTCTAAACACTCAAACACCCACTTTGCAAGGAGAGGAGAGATAGGAAGGTACCATACTAGTAGCAGATGGATCAGGGCCAAGCTGAGATTTGCACTTCATGGCCAGTTGCCCCCTAGTAATGGGCCACACAAGCCCCTTTCCCCCAACAAAACTCCTAGTCAGCAGGGGTGTAGGAATGAAGTGTAATTTGGACCCTTTGGCTGATCCTGGCCCAAACGCCTCCCCTGTGGGCCGTTGGTAGACAGGTTCTTGTAGGAGCTGCTAGCTCTGCAGCAGCCCTGGGCCAAGAATGGGTAGTACTGGATCTGCCTGGGTATCTGTGGCCAGGCTGCCAGGTGGCCTTGTGCTGTTTACAGCATCTCCCCACGCTTCAGTTTCCCCAAGTTGCTACTATCAGTTTGTTCCCACTCTTCAGCTGTCACCTTCTGTAAGCTATTTTCCATGGTACATCCATAAGCATGATCAGCAGCTGATGAATGTGCTCCTTAGGCTGACACTGGTGCTTGGGTCTGGGCTGCAGCCCGGGGCTGGTGGAGAGTGCAGGAAGATTAATTGAGCCATTGAGTTAGAAGAAACAATGCTTTTATTTGTGTGTGTGTGTGATTGATAAATGATTTTATAAAAAAGTGAGCATGGCAGGTGATTTAAAAAAAATCCCTATTGTTCCTGATGTAATTCACCATTAATCCTGCCTAGATCTGAGTTAATCAGCTGAACAAGTGGCGGACTGAGCCCAGCAGTCCTGAGCATTGCACTTGGCACTGGTCGCGGCGTGATTTAATACCTGTTCAGACAGGCTGTGCTGGTTCTGGCCAAATCAAAGTGTTCCCACCTGCAGTCCCTGCCCATCCTGCCCCTTCCCTCCCCTGGGGACAGAGGACACTACTGTCATGGGAAAGCACAGGGGCAACTTTAATGCACAGAACTACGCTGAGGAGTGATTGTATAGCAGCAAACAATTGCTCCTGGGGCTGACTTTGACAAGGAGGGGAGCTGCCCGGAGCAGGCAGGACATACCAGCCTGGTGGGGTTTCTACCTCTTTTTCCCTCCCCTTAATTGTTTTCCCCAAGTGATTGTCCAAACCTAGAGCATTTCTTCCTGCCTTGGCAGGAGGGGCAGGGGGAAGCTGGGCTTCTCTTCTCCTGCCAGTGTAAACAGTCCAGTGCAATCTCCATTCCCCACAACTCGTCTGAAGGGGATGCAGGAGTCTTGCTGAACTTGATCACCCAGGGCAGGGTCTGATCACCCTGCCAAAGTGAATCAAGCAGCCCTTGTTCTTGCAAAGGCCGCAGAGATGCTTTGTGCTCTCTCAACCCCATGAAAACTGTTTTTCCTTATTGCAACACACCAGGTTAAATCCAGACCTGTCTTTCTGGTGGCTCCATTTAAAGGCTTGATCATCCATTTAGAAAAGGTGAAGATATTCTTCACTTAGGAAAAAAAAAATAATGTTGATGTGATTACGAATGGTGCTAAAATAACAAACTTGCCACACCCTACCATGCAACCCAAAGCTGGCTCATGACAGCTTCCCTTGTCCCCCAGTGCTGACAGCTCCCACTGATGCCAACCCAGCCAGCAGCACTAGAATAGACAAAGAGCCAGTGTTTCTAGCTCTACATCACCTTGGTCAGGATTAGAGAGGCCAGTGGCCTCTCAGGGACCTTCTGCCCTGCTGTCAGAGCTGAGCCAGTGGGGAAAAACAGAGCAAATGCATTCAGTCATGACTGCAGTCACAGGAGGCAGCCAGCTAGACACAGCCCTGCAAACGCTCAAATAAATGTGCAACCTCTCAGCTTCAGGAGGACTGTTCCTCTGAGTAAAGTTCATAGTGTCACTGGAGTGCAAATCAAAGGGACTTGCAAACAGCTTCGTCTGACCTTCTCAGTGTCTCAGGGCTTTGTGCGTGATGTGTGGAGGCCAGGCACTTCTGATCGAAGAGGAAACCACCTGCAGAAAGGCATCCAGGTAGGATTTAAAGACATGAAGAGATGGAGAAGCCACTGTTCTTCCCATAGCTTGGGCTCTGGTTGGTCTCCAGCTTTTCCTTTGAGGTTATCTAGTCACTGCTTTCAGTGACTGCTGCCCCTCCTTCTGATTCTCTGTCCCTACAGAAAGAGCACCTCCACACTTGATTTAGCATTTTTGTCCCTACACCAATTCAGGTACTTAAGATCTCTCTTCAAGCCCCCTCATCTAGTCTTCCTCTCTGACAAGTTCCATAACTTCCCTGTTTGGCATATAACAACAACAACAACAACAATAAAAAAGATGCTGCAGTTTTGTAGGCAGGCTGTTCATTTAATAAATAAAATGGTGTGAATAGTCTGGGCTAGAGGCACTGACAGGGAAACAAGCTCTCTTAACAGGATTTATTCTTGCTTCCTAGAGCTGTGAAGTTCTCAGCCAAGCTGATGGGACAGGCCATGGCCAAGAGGGTCAAAGCAACCATCCTGTATGCCACTGAAACAGGGAAGTCGCAGGTCTATGCAAAAACTCTGTGTGAAATCTTCAAGCACGCTTTCGATGCCAAGGTATTGTACCAGCTCCCAGCCCCTGCAAGATTATGTACGTGTCTGGGTAGACCAAGGAAATACATGGCTGTTGGAAAATACATGGCTCAACACACGTGGAGCTTCCCAGCTGCTGAGGGTTTTCAGCAGCTCCCACGATATGACCTTGAGGGTCTAGATTGAAGCCTGCACAGGATTTTTTCCAACTAATACTCCTGCGGGCATTGTAGCACATATACATTGACTGGCCCTGTGGTTTGTCCATGACCCTTGAGGCTCTTGTTCTCTCCCTGTGTGGAGGTTTTTCCACTGGCACTGGCATGGAGTCAGCAAGGATATGCTGCTCCCATCCCCAGGTGGGCTGGGGTCCATCCCAGGAGAATGGCTGGTGGTTGATCTCCCCACCAAAGGCCTCTCACTCACATCTCTGTTGCTCCCAGGTGATGTCCATGGACGAGTATGACATCGTGCACCTAGAGCATGAAACCATGGTCCTGGTGGTCACAAGCACCTTTGGCAATGGAGACCCACCTGAGAACGGAGAGGTAGGACAGAGGGCAAGGGTGGGTGACTACAGCAGGGACATGGGCAGGGGAGAGGTGGCAGGGAATGGGGACTGGTGTCCTCTTTTTGCTCAGCCTGAGCTGGAATGGTCCAAAACAGGTCTGGGTGCTGTGTGATACCTGGTGCTGTGCCTGCCTGCCTCCAGCCTGCTCTGAAATAGGGATATCTACTCATTTCCTGCCGTGAGACAAATAACTAATCTGTTGTTAAATGCATCCCGTACAACTGATGCCAGTGTCACACAAAAGGTGCCAGGCCCTTGGCCAAGGAGCTACAACCTCATCAATCCCTGTACAACAGCGTTGCAGGCTGTTGGGAACAGCAAGCAGAGAGCAGAGTTGCAGCCCAGGCTTTGGTTGCTGCTCTGTTTCCTGCAGAGAGTGGCAAAACTGATGGTCTTTTTTGATTTCTTCTCTGTAGAAATTTGGCTGTGCATTAATGGAGATGAAGAATCCCAACTCCAACCTGGAGGAGAGGAAGTAAGAGCACCCCAAAACCCTCCCTTCCCACTCACAACCCCAGCAAGCAGACAGCCCCGCAGCCGGGACAGCCTGCTTCTCTGCTTTCCTCCCCTCAGAAGGCAGTGTGAAATCCCCACGCAGGTTTCAAGTCTCAAAGGTCCGAGGGATGAGGCCTGCCTGGAGAACCAGGGGATGGATTACGCAGAGATCCCAGGGAGGACAAAAGCACTGAGTCGGGCACGCCTGTGGACTCCAGCCTGTAATTCCCTGGGCTGGCATTTTAAACTTTCTCTTTTCAGCTGTAAGAGGCAGGCATCTATGAAAAAAAAAAACCCAAACAAAAACAAAACAAAACAAAACAAAAAAAACCCCAAACCCACAACCCAAAACCAACAAATAAAAGCAGGAATTCCTCCAAAATCACTGAATCTAAGAGCTGGGGTTGTTCAGGAGACACCAAAATAGTGAGACTTGGAGGTACAGAAGGGAGTTTCTACCTATGTATATGGGGGAGGGTCTGAGAACCAAATTTAACTTCTTGCATCATGTAAAAATATTTCTCAGGAAAGTAAGAATTGTTATAAATTCCGGCTGTGATGTTTGTAACATTGAGTCTGGAACTGGAGACAGTCTGGGGTTTTAGAAAATCCCCCATCAGTGGAACATGAGCCTTGAGCATCTTGTTGCATGTCCCAGAGGCTGGGAAGTGAGGGCAGCCAGCAAAGTGTTAATCATTTGGGACCTCCTTATTTTAGCTATTAAGTACAATGTATTTAATTTAACTGGGATACTGCTCTGCTCTGGAGGCTCTCCTGAGTTAACACAGTGATGCTCGCAACTGGCAAAAGACTGCTCCTTAATTAAGAAAAAATTACCACTGGCCAGAGGTACGGTGCAATTTAACCACCCTAACTTTCTGCTTGAGCAGCAAAGAGCAGTGCTGGTGTGGCTGCAGAGTGGTGACAAACACCACCGGGCAGGGCAGGGATGGATTTTTACCTCTCTGCTGCTGGTGACGCAGCAGCCCCGAAGTGGTCTCCTCACTGTGGATCATCTGATGGATCCCTGCAAGGTCTGTGAGCTGAAAATCCATCAGTTTTCTAATGGCCCCGTGCCTTAATGGGGACAGCTGACAAAATGGGATGTGCAGGCTGCCCTGGAGGCGACTGGGTGAAGAAGGGACATTTTGCATGTGGTTCTCACCCCAAGGATCTTCACTTTTTGGGGCTGGGTTGGTGCAGCATTGAGTTGGATTCAGAAGTGTCACCCGTGGCAAGCCAGGCAGATTTGAGGACAAAAGCACCTGAGCTCAGTGCTGGCTGTCCCAGTCACCTCTAAATGTAATTTAAGGGACTGGCAGGAGTTTCTAAGAGCCAGAACAGCCTGTGGCTTAGTTACCTGACAGCAAAAGTGGTCAGAGTGCTGGAAACAGTAACCTGTGTGGATAGATCAAAACAGAGAGAGTTGTTTTATCTGGAGAAGAGGACACAGAAAAGTAGTGTGGTAGCAGACTTCGCATATGGAAAAGGTGAGTGCAGAGATGGAGGGAATAGATTACTCCCCATAGCCTTCCTGGGACAGGGCAACAGGTCGTGGCTCTGGATGGTAGGAAGAGATGCTGTTGTTAAGCACGAAAAAAAGTTTTTGCAATGAGAAAAGACGTCCTGGAGGAGACTGTCTAGGGAAGGGGAGCAGAGTCAGCAGCATCTGTAGGAAAAGGCTCGAGGGAGCAGCTCCTGCACATGCACCCCCCTGGCTCCCAGCTCCACGTCTGCCCAGGGCCACAGTGTCTCGAGGAGCCTGCCAGGGTGCTGCGGCTGTGGCTTTCTGACCACAGCCCAGAGGTTTTGCTGTGATTGTATATTAGGTTCCTTGTGTCCTACAGCAAGGGTTCTCCAAGGGTTTTCTGAGGCATTCATAATCCTGCCATATTTAAGCACCCACTGTTAAAATGCAGCCCATCTTTCAACAGTCATCCCCTGCCACAAGGATGTACTCGTTTCAGCAAGAGCTGCTGGTGTCCTGACCTTGGGCCCATCAACCAAGTGGGGAACTTGGGCTTCATGCCCATCCAGACCGGTGGGCTGTGCTGCTCTGCCTTCTCCACATAACCCAGGGTGAGGACATGGCCCAGGAACAGCAGAGAAAGAGTGGGTCCATCCAGATGGAGTGAAGCAGAAGAGCAGGAGGGTTTCTGGACAGAAAGGAGGCGGCTGTGGAGCTGAGGTGGAGCACAGGGCTCTGCGACCCTGGCATTTATTTTGCTCAGGGGTTGTCTCCTCTGCACGGTGTGCTGGGTGCAGGAGGTCTGCTGTGACTCATCCACACTACTGCTTCATTGCTCTGGCAGTATATTTAGAAACCCTTGTGTAGAGCAATTTTTGAAGATGGTTCAATTCAGAAATACTTCTGCTGTTGTCAGATTTTTTTCTCCACTCCCCTTCCCCCTCCTCATCCCCTCTTCTCTCATTCCTTTTTTTTTTTTTTTTTTACTTCCTATGAGTGTAAAATCCTTCAGAATATTCCCGATCTTGTGTGCAGCCAGGGAAGGACAGGTAAAGCTAAAAGTCCTGCCAGCTCTGCATGGCTGGGGACAATGTGGTGGGCAACATCTGGGTCAACCCACTGGGAGGTGACTGGAGGACCTCATGAAACAGTCTGGGTCCAGCTTGGGGGGAGAGACCATTAGGGCTGCTATGGCTTAACCCTGGGCAGGAGCACATTTCTCTGCTCTAGCCACTGATCATGGTGCCTGCTCATGGAATATTGAGCCCTGAGCTCTAGTTTGGTCTCCTCCACAATCTGGTCCCCTCTGAGCATGCTGTTCAGTGGGAGCCACTTGCACACTTGTCACCATTGTTAATACTTGATGCCATTCACAGGAGCTACAAGGTTCGTTTCAACAGTGTCTCCTCTTACTCGGATGCACGGAAATCCTCAAGTGACGGCCCTGACTCCAGGGACAACTTTGAAAGCACAGGGCCCTTGGCTAATGTCAGGTAAGTAGGTTGGGGTGGGAGGCAGCAATTTCTTGCTGCAGAAGGGACGGAGTGGGAGCTGGTGCTGCACAGAGCCCCTTTCTCTTACCACAGCTCGCTCTTTCCTAAAACATGACGCATTTTTGCAGCATGCAGATCCCTTCATGCTCCCTCAAGCTGGTGTTGGCCATGGTGGTGCAGGAGGGGGAGATTTCAATGTCCCTCCCAGCTCGGTAGCCACAGCTGTGCCACCTCTCCACAGGTTCTCCGTGTTTGGGCTGGGGTCACGTGCTTACCCCCATTTCTGCGCCTTTGCCCGGGCAGTGGACACCCTCCTGGAGGAGCTGGGTGGAGAGAGGATCCTCCGCATGGGAGAAGGGGATGAGCTCTGCGGCCAAGAGGAGTCCTTTAGGACCTGGGCCAAGAAGGTCTTCAAGGTAACCCGATTCCTTTGTGCCCCAGGGAGGAGCAGGGGGGAGTAGGACACAGGATAGAGCAAAGTGGATGGTTAGAGCTGGATCAAAACCCAGCTTCTCCTTATATAGACTGGGACACCTGACCATCACCCTGGCCCACAATAAAGAGTTTCTCCATATTTTCATGGAGCTGATGCTCTGGTTTGAGCTGACTGCCAAAGGGTGAGCACTGTATTGAATTGCTGTGTTACCACAGATGCCTGGGGAACAAGGGCACCATGAGACATGCCCATGGCAACTGGTACAGCCCTACATTTTTGAGGGTTCCTTCTCCATGTGCTGGCTGAGGTTGATGGGACAAGGTGGGTTGTGGGGCTCAGTCAGAAAGCCCAGGGACAGCAGGGAGATGCCTGAGAGCCTGGTGCGTGCTGCAGGCAGCGTGCGATGTGTTCTGCGTGGGGGACGACGTCAACATCGAGAAAGCAAACAACTCCCTCATCAGCAATGACCGGAGCTGGAAGAGGAGCAAGTTTCGCCTGACCTATGTGGCCGAGGCCCCGGAGCTCACACAAGGTACAAAGATGGAGTCACCCTGGATGGCTCTGGGCATGGAGCAGGTGGAGGGGAAGACATAGTGGGCTCAATTGGGGGCAAAGGGGCCAAACTTATTTATTCTGTGTTAAAATCTCAGCATTTTAGTCTTGCCTTTTCCCTCCATCACATGCCCAAGGAGCATTCTGTGACACTCTCAGGACCTTCTAGCTGGTCCCTGTCTGTATCTGTAACAGAGATGTTGGGATATGATCTGATCTCCCTCCTCCTGACCCCATTTCTTGAAGCAAAGAGCTGGAAACCTGGGAGCTTTCCAAGCTCACTTTGTCCAAATGCCGCTCCACCGAGCGTTGCGGTGCAATGGCAGGTCCAGCCCACCGACACCTGGCCCCTCAGCACGGCTCCTGCAGCTGATGATCTGCCACACTGGCTTAGCTTTTCCCAAATTTGCTATCAGCCAGGTGGTACTGGCAGCAAGACGTTCATGCCTGCACATGAGGGCACGTCCCCACGCCTCATGCGGGTGGTTTCAGAGTCCTCCTCAGTCACTAATGAAAGGGACACGTGTTTGGTTCCCCTCTGGAGTTTCTGAACCCTCAGGCTCACTGAAGCTTTGCAGGAGGTGGGAGCGGGAGGGTGGTCGAGCCCACGGTCCACTTGCTATGGCTGGTATCAGCCAGCTCCGATCCGAAGGGCTGAACCCGCAGCGATGGCTGACAGCCCTGCAAAAGCCAGAAGCCACCTGCCCTGGCCATGCTCTGCTGTGTTGCTTCACTGACTCTTCTCCTCTGCAGGACTGTACAGCATCCACAAAAAACGCGTCTATGCAGCTCGGCTTATCACACGCCAGAACCTGCAGAGCCCAAAGTCCAGGTAGGAGGTGCAGCTGTCCTGGGAGCTGTGGGAATGCACCCGAGCATCCATTCACACAGTGCTGCAAATATCCCTTGACCCCTGAATGTCCCATGGATACCCTCTTTGTGCAAATTATGACCAAGGCTGGAAGCCACATAAGCCCAGAGAAGGGTGTTCCCTGCCTTCTTACATGGTGAAATCTCTGCTGCTACATAAATTAGCCTGCTGTCTGTAAGGATGAGAAGATGGGTGGCCACACTTGTGGATGCATGGGGTGCATGCAAAGAAATGATAAAATTGTTGAAGCAAGAGATTAAACTGTTTTATTTCCTTTTTTTTTTTTAAAAAAAAAAAAAAGTCCCTCAGGATGAGTCTGGTGGGAGGAGGCAGGCTCTGCAGTGTCCTTTCTAGCTCCCTGCTTCGACTTTAGTGACTACTCAGTGAGGCACCAGGGCTTGGACATGCCACCACTGCCCAGCACACCCAGAGGCTCCTGAGGCCAGAGTTCAGCGGCTCCCTGAAGGACTCCCCAAAACCACTTATTTTTCTCCTTTCCCTGTAGCCGCTTGACAATTTTCCTGCGCCTCCACACCAATGGACACCAGGAACTGCAGTACCTGCCCGGGGACCACCTGGGCGTGTTTCCTGGGAACCATGAAGACTTGGTCAATGCCCTGATTGACAGGCTTGAAGATGCCCCTCCGGCCAACCAATTGGTGAAGGTGGAGCTCCTGGAGGAGAGGAACACAGCTCTAGGTAACCAGGGCCATCTCACCATAGAGGTGTCCTCTCTCCTTCTCGCTCATCAAGTAGCAGTTCTTGTAGCTCCTCAGGGAAGTAGGTGGCCCCTTGGAGAAATTATTTCCCACTTCACAGATGTGTTTACCTGGATTGGGAGCACCTTCTTCAACCTTGCTCTGCCCAGAGCACCTGCTCATCTGCACTGGGCTGTAAAGCAAGGGTGTGAAGGGTTAGCAGGGCCCTGGGGAAGATATTTCCTTATTCTTCAGAAAAATTAAAGGTGTTTATATTCTCATGGGAAAATCAATGTCTAGGACTGGAAAGAAGAGTTAAGGGATCTTAATGGACCATTCCAATTCAGGGATAAGTCTGATATCCTACTGCTATGCACAGTGTAACAAGGAATGAAAACAGTATTAACTCAGAGTGACCAAGGCTGATGGTGGTGGAGTATCAGACTCATATTTGTGCTCATTGTACAGCATCCCACTTGCAGCATGAGGATATCTCACTCTTCTTTCCAGCTCTTCATCATTCACTGTGTCAGAGCTGGTAAGGGGAATAAAAGCAAGGATTTGTCCACCTTGGCTCTTATGCTCACCTGATCCCATGGTTGTGCTGAATTCCCTCCTGGCAGGTGTCATCAGTAACTGGACAGATGAGAACCGTGTCCCACCATGCACCATCTTCCAGGCTTTTAAGTACTATTTGGACATCACCACTCCTCCCACACCCCTGCTGCTGCAGCAGTTTGCTTTGTTGGCCACCAGTGACAAGGAGAAGAAACGTCTGCAGGTTCTTAGCAAGGTAAAGCCTCAGACCCCAAACCCCATTTCTTCAAGGTCCTGGGGACAAGCACAATCACAAGGCATTTTCACCCCACACTGTGGTTAGGCTGAGTCTCTACCCTTAACAGCAGAGCTCCTCCTGCTTGCCTTCACTGCCACCCACCCCAGCTTTGCCATAGGCCTGGTGGGACATCAGTTGAGGCATCTGGCTTGGAAGAGGTCGACGCTGCAGCTCTCTCCTCCCTCCCTCCCTCATTGCAGGGCTTGCAGGAGTATGAGGAATGGAAGTGGTCCAAGAATCCTACCATAGTGGAGGTGCTGGAGGAGTTCCCCTCTGTGCAGATGCCTTCCACACTGCTGCTCACACAGCTCCCCCTCCTCCAACCACGCTACTACTCCATCAGTTCCTCCCCAGAGATGTACCCAGGCGAGGTCCACCTCACCGTGGCAGTGGTGTCCTACCGCACAAGAGGTACCATGCTCATGCAGGGGTCAGTGGAGACAGGCTTGGTGTGGGGAGCATTAGCACATGGGCAACACCACAAGGTCTTTGGCAGAGAGATGTTGTTTTAAAGCCTTTCTACCTGCTGCAGTGACTAGATTCCTTTCACCCATGACACTGCTGTCCCATGTTATGGTGGATGGCCATCCATCAAAGGGGAGTGTGTTGCAGTGATGCCAGGTCTGGGTCAGGTGCCAACAGACTAGCCATGGTGGCTCCAAGCTCCATGTAGGATCATGTTTGCCCACACCACAGTCCGCATTGCCACAACTAGTCAAATTTCTGTACCTGTGCAAGCACTGATGTGTTCAAGCAGCCCTGGTATAGAGGGACACAGCCCCAGCACCCCTGCAACAAGTAGGACACAGGTGAAGACACTGGCCATTCATCTGGGGCTGCCATGGAGGGCTTGTGTCTGGAAGCACCACAGCATGATGCTGCTTTCTGCCAAAAAGGACCAAAGAGAAGTTGGGTGCTTCCTAAGTATTGTGGACATCCAGCTATCCCAGGGCTGGGTCCTGTGTGAACTTGGGTAGCTCCACAGAGGGCTACCTCTATGGATGCAGAGATACTAAATGTTTCAGTGTGGTGTTCATGTGGGATGTATCAGGCAGGGTTTCAGAAAGGAAAATAATTGGAGTAGCTGGCAGTGTGCCACGTATAGACCTCCTTCCCTCCTGCCCTAGATGGAGAAGGACCAATCCACCACGGAGTCTGCTCCTCTTGGCTCAATCGGATACAGACCGATGAAATAGTGCCCTGTTTTGTAAGAGGGTAAGTGGTCCATGCAAGGCAAGGTGTGAAAAAGATGGGGTGAGCCCTCTTGCAGGATGAGCTCTTTGCCCTCAGTTCTTCTTTGCAAAGTAGTAAGGGTGCAGGGAAAACAGGGCTGGATTTGTGAGCAAATGGGTCCCTCTCAGATGCAGTTCTTCTGCACTAAAATGTCACTTTATGGGATTTCACCTCGTTTCCTCCCCCTCCCTCTCTGGGTGGTGTCTTGGCTTGCTGTGGGCAGAGGCAAGGGAGAGAACATCCTGCTTGGGTGTAACTGGCATGTTCGATGCGTGCAGTGCGCCCGGGTTCCACCTGCCCCAGGATCCCCAGGTGCCCTGCATCCTCATCGGCCCCGGCACCGGCATCGCCCCTTTCCGGAGCTTCTGGCAGCAGCGGCTTTTTGAAATTCAGCACAAAGGTGGGTCGATGCTTTTTCCTCCTGTTTCTCATCTCAAGCAGTGCTTGGGAACCCTGGGCTGGTGGTGTGGGGAGTGAGGGGCAGTGTCCTGCCCGGGCTGCCCTGGAAGGCAAAGGGCTTCTCAAAGCAGCAGCTGTCCCAGGTGCAGGCTTGGAGGTCAGCCCAAACTCCCAAAGCAAATTCCATTAAAATCTCCACATAAAATTTCACAGAACGATAGTGCTGGCATCGTTTTTATGTAAAATACACATTTTTCACTGCTCATTTACACTGTTTAGAAAAAAAAGTTTCATTTTTCCCCAAAACCTGGCACAAGTGCCCCTGCCGTGTGACCCCAGGCCATGCACTGGCTCAGACAGTGCATTAACTCCTCTTTGCTGGTTTTCCCTCCCTCCCAGTTTGGCTAGGGAAGGCTCCTGGCACTCCTGTGCATGGTGCTGGGGCTGCTGGCAGATCTGGAGGGAGATGGCTTGCAGAAAGTGGGTATGAGTGGTCCCCAGGCTAAGTGCTTCCCCCATCTCTCCCCCAGGTCTGAAGCCTTGTCCTATGGTCCTGGTCTTTGGCTGCCGGCAGGCCAGGATTGACCACATTTACAAAGAGGAGACACTCTTTGCCAAAACCCAAGGTGTCTTCAGAGAGCTGTACACAGCCTACTCCCGGGAACCGGACAAACCAAAGGTGCGTAGCAGGCACTGCTGTGGCCCTGGTGTGCAGCCCTGGGTGGCCACGGCCAGCCAGCACAGCATGGAGATGCTGGTTCCTTGGCACAGCCACAGGGGTTCATGCCCTGGGGCACTCTGGTTGCATAAGCATGCGGGATCATGCCCTTCCCAGTGGAGCCCTGTTCCCAGGGCGCATCGCCATGCCTGCACCAGCCTGAATATGTGCCCACATTGCTCATGCTTTTCCCTGGAGGACTGTAGCCTTCCTCACCAGGCAGAGGCAGATGAGGAGGGCAAAGGCACATCTTCCCACGCAGGTGGGCAAGGAGGGATGTCACCCGGTTGGGGTAGCCCAGAACCAGCGCAAACATCTGGTCTGAATTCCCACTGCCACCTGAGCAGGCCTGGCAATGAGGTATATGGTGAAGCTGTGAAAATGCAAGAGAGAAGCGATACTTTGCTGCTTTCCCCATCTCTTTTCTATCATTGTGGGTGCTGTGAGGCGCAGGCATGCTCCTTGAAGGCAGCTGGTGCACACAAAGCTGGCTGGAGCACACAGGTGGATAGGGCTGAGAAGCTGTAGTTAATCTCAGCTCCCACCTCCTCCTCCCTCAGAAATACGTGCAGGACGTGTTACAGGAGCAGCTGGCCCAAACCGTGTTCAAAGCACTGAAGGAGCAGGGAGGCCACATCTACGTCTGCGGGGATGTCACCATGGCTGGGGACGTCCTCAAGACCGTTCAGCGCATCGTGAGGCAGCAGGGCCAGCTGTCAGTGGAGGAGGCAGGCGCTTTCATCAGCAAGCTGCGGGTGAGTGGCGTCTGCACCACCAGACACCGCGCAAGCTCCTGCCACGGGCGCTGCACCTGGTGCCTCCTCCTGCAGAGCGGGCAGCACCGAGGTGACGGGTGCTGGCGGGGATTGCGGCTCTCACCCACGCCACCTGCACTCAGGCAAGGTTGGGAGCGTGATCTTCCCAAGATTTGGGTGTGCAGTGGAAGGCACCTTGTTTTGCAGGATCTCTGCTCCTGGCTGCTTCCCCCTCAGCCCACACTGGGCTCCTGTGATGAGCATGATGCTGTGCTGAGCATTGATACAAGATCTTTCGGGCACCTTTGGTAGCCTAGACAGGCCTTTTCACCTGGTGAAGTCCACGCTGTCCCTCCATCATTGCAGCAAGTTAGCAGGGCAGACTGTGCATCCCCCTCCCAAAATCTCTGTCCCTGGGGCTGGCTGACTGCTGCCCCTGGGCAAACACATGCTGCAGATAGTGCAGCTGCAGCAGAAGTGAGCTCAGTTTGGGACACAGGCCTGAGGATGGATGCTTGAATAGTTCTGCTTCTGCCCCAGAGGACAACTCAACCCAATTCCTGCAAGACTGTCCCTCTGAACCATGGCCCCACACTCCATCCAGGGGCTGAGGGAGCCCAAAGCCATGTTTTTGACTGGTTTTCAAGGAAAAACTCTTGTACATAGGCTGGCCTCGGGCTACTTGTCCCTTTGACGGGCAGACTGGCCCTGGGTTGCCAGCAGTTGAGGAGGTTTAATGCACCGAGCAGCTCTGCCACTGCCCCACAGTGTGACCTTGCAAGGTCATTTCACCTCCCTGCTTGTTCCTGACCCTCTGCCCTGCCTGTCCCACCAGCTCTTGTGGCAGGCTCAGAATATTTGCTGTGTATCTGGTACCTACCCACAACACAAGAGCTTTCTGGTGCCACAGCAATACCAACTGTTTGTAAATACTCTTTTTTTTTTTTTCCTATTGCCCCTCTCCCATCCCTTGTTTCAGGATGACAGCCGGTACCACGAGGATATTTTTGGAGTCACCCTGCGTACGTACGAAGTGACTAACCGCCTTAGATCTGAGTCTATTGCATTCATTGAGGAGAGCAAAAAGGATACGGATGAGTGAGTTGACATGTTTATTTTAGCCCCTGCAGTCATCTCCCAAGCGCGTGGGCTGCGGGATGGGGAAGGGAGCTTTAACTTTTGCACACGTGATCCTTCTTAAAGCAGAGGCTGAGAAAAGGAATTTGATGTTTGCACTGGAAGCAGAAGCTGCTGCCTGGCAGCATCTCTGAAATAGCTGTCACCTCGCTAGGACAAATTCCCACCGACCTTTCCAGGTTATTGCACCCACTGTACCAGTGTGCTCAGACCTGACAGTTCCGTACAAATGGTAATGCAAAGCACAGGAGTCCTGCCCGCTGCCTGCCTCTGCTCCCTGCCAGCGAGCCAGCGGATGACGGGCTGGAAGGTCTGCAGGACCCGTGGCGAGGGGTGGCTCTCCCCAGCTCCAGTGCCGGCTGCAGGGGGGCCTGGCTGGCTCCAGAGGTGCAGACAGCAGGTACCCATGGTGGGAGAGGTCTCCAGGCTGCTGCATGCCCAGTTAGGAAAGATCTAGAGACTTTTCTTTCCACTGTTGTAAAAACAACCCAAAGAAGTAAAAACTCTTGACATTTGCTATGTTTGTTTCTGCTCTACCATGTTCTGCCATTTGCTCATCTCTGTCGAGGTGAGATTTTCCCTGGCTGAGCAGAAGGATTATTTAAGATAAAGGATGGGCAGCTGCATAGATATTTCTCCTTGTCCTGGCCCTCGGTAGCCTGGGCTACAATCCTTTCCCTGCACTCCTGGCTGTGCCACGTAGTGCCTGGCTGACCCAGAGTGGGTTTTCCAACACCCCTGAGGTTTGGTAGGAATTTTTCTCTGATGCAGCACATACTCTGGGGTCTGCACTGTATACAGGGTGCCTCAGTTTGCCACCTCTAGGTAGGGATAAGGGTTAGCTACCTGCTCACCTCAGCCAGCTGCAAAGGGCTCTGTAAATCCCTGTCTACAACACGGTCCCTTGGAAGGTCCTTAGGTAGGGTGCTCAGACGCTCCTCACTGCTCCCTCTAAGGCTGGCCTTTCTCCCCTTTCCCTTGCAGGGTTTTCTGCTCCTAACTGGACCCTTCGCCCCAGGGGGATGCCAAACCAGTCCCAGCACCTGCTGCCCCCTCCAGCCAGAGGGCACTGGGTTTTGTATTTCACAGACACGGTGGCTCCTTTTCCTCGGGGAACTGCCCATGGAAAGCGCTCTGTCTCTCGTCCTGTTGTTGTGTCCTGATGATGATGATGATGATTTTTATTTCCTTTTCTTCCTCTTTCTCTTGCTCTTGTCCTGTGGCCATTTCTTTTCTCTCTTTTTCCCTTCCCTGGATTTCCCCACTGAAGTACGATGGCTTTATAACCTGCAGTGGCTCTTAACAGAACCCCACATTTCTCCTTCTTCTCATGAGGGCATTTTGCAGCTGCATGAAATCACCACCTTCATGATCATCTGCATTTTCGGTGTTCTGGGGGACAGCAGAGCTGGCAGGGGCTGGGCAATGGCTAGGTCTTGTTGCTTGACCAGAGCTGGGGGTTGTTCCTCCCAGGCTCCCCCTTCCCCCAGCTCAGGGCTTGGCTGAATCCTTGCATTTTCATGGCTTTCCTTTATACTTGTACAGACCTGGGCATGTGCCTGAGGCTGGGGGCAGATTATGTGCAATGCCCTCGTGCCTATGAACTTTGTTCATCCCCAAGCAGCCTGGGTACAAATGTGTCTGTTTTGATCTGAAGGGTGGGATGTTTCTGATTCATGTATCATGATTTCTCCTAAATGGACTCTGTGCTATGTTTGCCAACTCCTCTGCTCCGGGTTCCCCATGAGCCTCTCTTGCTCAATCCCCACTTTTGCCAGCATGAAAGTCCTCCCACAGAGAAGCAAGCACCGAACACACAGGCTGATGTGTATGCTAGGGAAAAACTCATGGCAATGACTGCTGCTTGGCCAGGCTGTTCTCCGGAGAGCTTTACAGGAGATAAGTCTTCTGCAGCCATGATGCTGGTGAGAGAGACTGAGGAACCGGCTGCATTCCAGAGCTTTGAATATTGTGAATGTGTGAACCCTCTCCCAGGTGAGACTGGAAAGCCACAAGGATGGGAGAGAACCAGCTCCAACCCCAGCTGCCAGAGGCACCTCCTGATAACAAAGCCTGTTTTGGAAGGCAGCACTTGGAGGGTTATGGAGGCTCCTGGTCCTCGGTGAGGTTGTGCCAAACGAGGAGTCTTGAAAGCCCAGAGACCATCAGCTCCACCTTAGCGCAGACTCATGAGCAGTTCTGGGACAGCAGACCCCAGCCACTTCCACACCTTTGGGAGCAGAAAGTGCCAGCACGGAGTGACCTGCCTGCCAAGAGAAATACACGTGGTGTCTGGGTAGCAAGCCAGTCCCCCCTGTAGGCTCTGCACCACCTGCCAGCGGCACGAGCTGTCTCTGCCGGGACATCTCATGTGAGAAGGGAAGTGATATCAGCTGTAAAGATGCTGTGTGATTCTGGGCTCTGACATGCTCACACCTCAGCCCTGCTGCAAAAATCTGGCCCCAAAAGCAATCTGTTAACACAATCACAGAAAGCTATCAGTCCCTCTAATAGAGAAAAGCTGTCTGCAAGGTAAAGCATGCGTGACCTTGTGTGTCCCTCCTTCTCCCTTCCTCACCCTGGAGAAGGTTTGTCCTCCCTCACTGCCAGGATGAGGGCAGCAGGGCATGGCTGCAGCTCTTGCTGGAGGCAGGGATACGGGGTTGACATTTTGAGCTGGTAGACACTGATCCCTTCCTCCTGCCCCTGCTCTGCTGAACTGTGCACTGATGCTTGTATGGAGCAAAGCATCTGCACCAGCGACAGCAGAGGGTTTGTCCAGGAGCTGCAATGGTGAGCTTACTTTCAGAAAGCTAAGATTAACTGCCCTAAAACACAGTCAGAACAAAAAGTGCTGCAGGAGCTTTTCTGTTCTCCCAGTCCACGGTACAAGCTGCGCTGGGTCCCCCGGCCCCAGGCTGTGCGGTTATCCCCACCCTCAGCCAGGTCCTCCAGCTCTTTCTTGCTGCTTGTCTGCCCACATCTCCGCATGCTGTGACCATCTTCTGCGGCTTTGATTCCCTGAATGCTTGAAGCAGCTCCAGCCTAAAATTCAAAAGCAAAAGGCCTCCAGGCACTGGGAGAATTTGAGATCCAGGTCTTAGTTTTAGTGGTCCCAGCAGAGCATCTAGCATGGAGTAAAATGCGAATGAATGCTGCCACGGTGTGGCCACAGCCCCGCTCACTGGGCTAGCAGGGCGGCTGGAGCAGGGTTGGGAGCCAGGAGCAAGGCCAGGTTTGTGTCACTGCCTGGGGACTTTGTGACCTGGAGGTGAAAGCAGAGCGGGACAGGAAAAAGGGCAGCCCATGGTCCACCTCTGTGGACTCTAATCCCAGGGCATCCAAGGGGGAGCTGGGTCCCTTTGCTGCTGGGATGCGTGAATTTGGTCCTGCCTGTGGGAGACAACTCCCTGGCTGTGAACATAGAGCAATCCTGGCCCTAACCCCCAATCCTGTGGCTGCAGAAAGAGAGCTAAAGAAAAAAAATCAGACTCATCCCCTTCTTTTGGGAAATTTGATGATGGCTCTAGATTTTGTGCTTTGGTCCTCCGTTGAGTAGAAGGAGCGATGCAATCTGAAGAGGAGGTAGTGCCCAAAGAAATGCCCTTGTCTTCGTCCTCTTTCCAGCTCATCCTGTGTGGCTGGCAATTAGTTTTTTCCTGTCCTGCCTTCTACCTGTATCGCTACAACATTTCCCATCTGGAAGCCTGTGCCTGAGCTGAATTGGCTTGCTTCTCCTGCACCCTAAAGTTTGCCACCTCTATCTCCCCCTGCCACCTGAGCTGCCAGTGGAAACAGCGGGGAAGGCAGCGGAGAAGGGAACAGGGTGTGTGTCTTGCCTTTGGTGGGATGTCCAAAGGGGTCTGTGCCAGGCAGACAGCCAAAGCTGTTTCAAATTCAGCAGGCATCAGGCAGGTGAGTCCTTCAGAGCCCTTTGGAAGGGAAATGCTTTTTTAAGGCCAGTCTCCCTGCCTGGCCCCAGAGAAGAAACCCTCCCTGCTGTGAAGGTCCATGAAGTTAATATGTCCCCCAGGGCTCTGAGCTGCCTCTCCGCTCTCTCTGCCTGAGCAGGACCGTTTGCTCCTCACAAGCCGCACCACTGGGAATTTTGATTCATTGTTTTTTGTTGAGTCAGTCTCAGACGTCTTAACTTCATCTGCCTTACCTGCAGGGGCTTAGCACTCCCCTCAAGCTTAATTTTCTCCCACAGCAAAGGGAGAAATAAACTTGTGGATCTGCGTTATCATTCCACCAATGCGGCTCTTCTACCAGTTGTCTGGACTCTGCTCATCTCGGTGTGACATTTCTGACGCGTAGGTGTAGCCACACTATCTCCAGCATGCATAAACGGCAGAGAGCAAGGTGAGCTCTGCCACAGACTGGTGCCAGGAGCTGCTCAGGGGTGTCATCCATGGAGGGGTTGTGCCTCTTGTTCACAGATCTGTCACCTCCGGGTGCCTGCTTCCAGTCCAGGCTCCTGCACAGCCCCACGTGGCTCCTGCAGTGAGGGCTGCTGGACCTGATGGACAACCAGCTGGATTCCCTCTCCTGGTAGATGTCCACTACTGCCCATTTTAAGCAGCTCTGGTCCTTTTTGCTCCCCAGGTATTAAACATAAACAGAAGATTTTATTTTCAAGACACTATGAAGCAGGGGGGGGTTTTGCAAAGATTTTTAATTCATAGGCCTTTCAGATGTCCACAGAAAGTTATTCTATGAACTTGAAAACTCACGGGGAATGCTTGTCTGTTTTCCCAACCTGCTGTGTCCACTAGCAGGAAAAAATAAGTTGTTCATTCAGTAGAAGGGTATCTACCGCCTGTGTTGTTGATGACTTCAGAGATTTCATCTCTTCAGAAGGACTGCCTAAGAGTTTGTTGTCCTTCTATTTATGAGAGACAGCGGGAAAATAATGAGACTTCTATCATCAGGAGTAGACTCGCAATGATGACACCTCCACAATCCTTGCTGGGTGGCTCTGACGTCGATGCACTAGAGGAACCAAACCAGCCACATCCATACTGGCCAGAGAAACGGGGCTTGAGTTGGGGCTGTCCACGCTCCCTGTCCCCAGCCCTGCGCCTACGCGTCCCCAGGGTCGCTCAGGGGACTCTGTTCACACCCAGAGCAGTGTGAGGCAATGTGTCTCTGCACGACCAGCAACCTTGCTGCGTCCTGAGCGAATGTGACTGCACTTATGCGGAAGAGGAGATGGGAAGAGACAGGAGCTGCATGAACCTGTGTCCAGTCTAAGTGCGATTGCACCCTTAGTTCCTTTACTGTTAGTATGCGACGCCTCTCACTCCGTCCCGGGCTGTAACCCAGGCTCCCTCTACCGCTTCACTCTGCAGAGCCCTCCTTTCTCCTCAGCCCTGCCTGCCCCGCCAAAGGTGCAGCGAGCTGCTCAGGTGAGTCCTGGGAACGACGACAGACTTAGTGCCTTGTGCTGGGAAAAGACTGTTGCACTGGGGTTGCCCTCCCGTTTCTGCTCTCTCCAGAGATGCTCCTAGCACACAGACTGAGAGCTGAGGAGAACGGATTACTTCGTTTTACAAGGGAAATTCCAGGTGGGCAAATTTCCTCTGGGATAACTGAGAGAAAACTAACAGCCCTGCTCAGCCGTGCTCTGCAATTAACCTCCCAGTGATGGGGTTTTATAGGAGTGTGGAGGTGGTGCAAGGTTAGAGTGTGGCTGCAAAGTGGACACCACCTTCTGCAAGCACCACGGGTCTGTCAACACCTACCACGTACCAGAGACCATGTTTTTATTGGGCTGGCAGTGGGGGGAGAGAACGTGTTTGTGCCTGAAGCCTCACGGACTTGTGCCAAGCCCAGGCCAAAGCTGCTGCCTCCTGACTTAGGACCACTGAAGCCATTACAGTCCTCTGATTCATACTTGTGGGGAAGCTGCAGAGAGTTCCCAGCATTTTTTGGACAGAGAATTATATGCTCAAAACTAAATTTTGTTCTTGCTTTCACTGGGGACCAGTTCTCAGCTCCAGAATTGCTCTGATAACTTTGCAATTGCTTTGATAGTTCCAGAGGGGAGCGTAGTCCCTTTACAGAACAGATGGAGACACATTTTCAGGACCATTCAACTTTGCTGTAACTCTTTCCTATAACAATTTCTTCTGCTACAACAGGAGGAGCCAAATTTGGCCAGTGCTGAATGCTCTTGAAAACTGTATTCCCGAACTTGGACAAAATCAGTCTAGAATCTGAGTCCTCCCAGATACAAAATGCCTTCCACACCCACTGGCTTCAGTGGCACTGGGGGTTTCAGCAGCTTGCAGGATCCGGCTTTCCCAGCAGCAGCAATTTCATGACGGCAGTGTTTTTGCGTGTGTCAATCTGCACTTGCACTTGCCTGCAATGCATGACTCTAGTAATCCTTTTGAAATCTACCCTCGACGGAGATGTGAGCTCTAGCTTCTTCCATATGGCCGTGTGTATTTAATAGGAAATCAGGGGAGTGGGAGAAAGCTAATGGGATTGCTGCTTTAAAGCACTTGGTTCCAGAAGTAAAACAGAATTTACCAGAGGTCAAAATTGTTTTGATTTTAGCATGGGTACAAGGGCAACTCATGAAATATTTAAGCATTGTAATGCAGATACACTTTTCTCCTGCTGTGCCAGGAATGAAGCAGACTAGAAACTCCTGGCCTCCACCCCTACAGATGTTTGGCTGTGATGGAAGTTTGAGCCATTGAAATCATGGGAAAAAAAGCAGATTGTGAGTTCATAGCTGAGCGGTCGCAGCTTGTTTAGCAGTGAGAACACCTCACTGCGGGGGCTGCTGCTTTCCTGCCTTACCCATTCATGTACCTACCTGGCCAGATTTCGGGGGAGGGAGGAAGCACTTCAAAGGCAAGAAAATCCACCATGTGAGCCTTGCCCTGAGCATCCCTGGGTGAACAAGAGCTTACAGGCCAAGGCTTTGCAGCTACTCCTCATTACCACGGCGGGGAGGTGGGCAAGACATCGGAGGTTTCTCTTGTATCCGCAGGCCAAAGCATGCAGAAGCTGTCCGGGGCTGTGGGAAAGCAGGAGTGCGGAGCTGGGCTGTGGGTAGACACTCCTGCATGGCCCGACTGTGGTGTTTGCACACAGCTTTCTGTAGGGCTGGATCAGAAATCTCTTAGTGAGTAACACTGTGCAAAGTATTTTTCTTCTGGGGGCATTCTTAGTACCTTAAACATTTGAAGACTAAATACTGAAAAAGTTGATCTAACTGATTTGGGGCTTCTTTTTGTTGTTTTGTTTTCATGTGTTGATTTTGGGTGGGGACAGCAAACAAAAAATCATCAGATTGGTTTGGATTAAATCAAATACTTTGTTCCCATGATAATTGCTAACGGAGATTTTAAAATTTTCCAAGGGCAGCAAAACTGCCTTAATATGTGTTCAACTCCAACAAGAGACTCCAGTGGTACTAGCTTCTGAGCCTGCTTTTTTATATTTTTCTCTGTGTGATCATGGCATGGAATCATGTCTTAACAAAATACACTTTAAGTACTCAACAGGGTGTCCAGAAACAGAAGACAGTGTTTCAGAATCTCCTCATGCCCAGCATTGAAGTGATGGCTTTGAAGCCAATGAAATTCAGCGCAAAATTTCTGCTTTGCTAAAATTCTACAAAACAGGCAAATGTCCACAATTCCCAAGGTTGAATGTGCTCTGCTGCCTTGAGATGCCTTCAAAAAACCTTGGGATTTGTATGCTGAAAAGAGCTTGAGAATAAGTTCCCTGGCCTGCAGCAACATCCCCAGCTCTTCTAGAATGTACACAATTCGCCAGACAGTAGATGAACAGAGTAAGATGACTTTCAGCCAGGACTCATTGCTTTTTAGATTGCACATAGTTAGAAACATGAGTTCTGCCAGCTGCCCAGGGAATTTGATATCCAGTGCCAATTAATTTTTGTAATAGGAACAGGGATTTATTTCCTTGATTTCCTTAGGCACCTTTGAAAAGCATAAGCCTCAAAGGTTGGTTTGGATTTTTTTTTTCTGGTGGCCTTTTTCCTCAAGAGCAGTGGTGCCGAGATGAGAAAGGGGACTGATCTGTGAAGGGTAGCAGCTTTGGGGCAGGCAACTCCCAAACTTTCCACTGCAGAGGTTTTCTAAACTCTTCAGATGTGAGTAAATTCTGCTCTGCTAGATGGGACTCCAACCTCTCGCTGCTCTCTGGTCCTCCTGCTCCTTCCTCCCTCCCCTCACCACCTCCTCATGTCACTGTGCCTTCATTTGGTTTATAAAATGGTGCCATGATTTGAGACTGGCACATTGTCTTTACTCCCACTTTGCATCCCATAAGACAGGTATGTGTGGAGGGGGGTTAGCTTATTTTGTAGCTTTTTGTGTGATCCTAAGGTAGGTTTCTTCTGAGGAGTAAAGGGGTGGGGATAGTTGGAGCAGGGTTGAGCCGGTGTTGTATTTGATCCTACCAGTGCTTTAAGCGGTCAGAAACATGGTTTTCCCCTACCTCTGAGCTCTCAATGCTGCTAAAATCTCCGCCATTCGTACAATGTACTCCAGCCCCCTCTCTCGGACTGACTCTGGCTCTGTTTGCAAGATATCCACATTGTTCTAAAGCATGCACCTCTTTCTGTATAGTTCCAATCTTCTGATTTTACGGAATACTTATGCCTGTTTGCATTACAGTCAAAATAAAAAAGTGAACTAAAATCTAGCGTATAGCAGATGTCATTCTCTTATATCTGGGTTTTTATTACTGAAAGGCCTCTCCTAATATCTTGGCCTTGCTCTGTTTCGCTACCTGTAATGCCAAAGCACTATAAATAAGATGGTGGCGTCAATCAGCAATACCTACCTATCTGCAAGCCAGAAACACTTTCTGGTAAGGTTACTTGAATCACAGCACTGCAGGTTTCACATCATTTATACTATGTCCACCAGGAAAATGCCACAGTCAAGCAAGAAGGGCTGTTTGCACACAATCCAGGGTGACTTTTGATGCTGGAGCCTCAGGAACACAGCAGCAGTACTGCAGGCAGTACTGGCGAGGTCTGAGCAAAAAGAATGGCTGCATGTGGCCAGGCGAGCGAGCCACGAGTATGGACATGGCTTCTTACGTGGGAAGGTCGTGCGCTGTTGCAAGGGGGTACTAATCTGCCTTTATGTAAGTAGATCAGTTCTTAGTGCTCCCTGCAGGACAGGGATGTGATCAGGGCAGAAAAATCCTAAACTGGCTGCAAGGAGCAAATGTGAGCGGTCAGTACTGGGGGCAGTGCTCTTTAACACCTTTGTCAGCAACATGGACAGTGGGATCGAGCACACCCTCAGCAAGTTCACCAATGACACCCAGCTGTGTGGTGCAGTTGACAAGCTGGAGAGAAGGGATTTGCCATCCAGAGGGACCTGGACAGGTTGGAGAGGTGGGACCATGCGAACCTCAAGTTCAAGAAGGACAAGTGCAGGGTCCTGCCCATGGGTCAGGGCAGTCCCAAGCACAAATGCAGGCTGGGCAAGGAGTGGAGTGAGAGCAGCCCTGAGGAGAAAGACTTGGAGGTACTGATAGATGGAAAAGAGACTATGACCCAGTAATATGTGGTCACAGCCCAGAAAGCCAACTGTGTTATGGCAGAGGGAGGTGATTCTCCCCCTCTACTCCACTCTCATGAGACCCCATCTGCAGTGCTGCATCCAGCTCTGTAGTCTTCAGTGGGTCCAGAGGAGGCCACCAAAATAATCAGAAGGATGTAACACCTTCCCTGTGAGGACAGGCTGAGAGAGTTGGGGGGGGGTCAGCTGGGGAAGAGAAGGCTCTGGGGAGACCTTAGAGTGGCCTTCAAGTACCTAAAGGGGCTACAAGAAAGGTGTGAAGGGACTCCTGATCAGGGGGCGTAGGGATTGGATGAGGGGTGATGGTTTTAAACCGAAAGAGGGCAGATTTAGATTAGATACAAGAAAGAAATTCTCCCCTGTGAGGGTGGTGAGGCCCTGGCACAGGTTGCCCAGAGAAGCTGTGGCTGCCCCCTCCCTGGAAGGGTTCAAGGCCAGGTTGGACGGGGCTTTGGGCAACCTGGGCTGGTGGAAGGTGGCCCTGCCCGGGGCAGGGGGGTGGGACTGGGTGTAAGGTCCCTCCCAACCCAAACCATCCTGTGATTCCATGAGAGGCATCCAAGTACAGAAGCAAAGGGCTGTTCCCCTGGCAACCCTTGCAGTGCCAGGCTGGCATGAGGGCAACGTGGCTGTGATGTTACCTGACATACGGCGGTAGTTTGACCTTGTAACTGCAGCAGGGGGCACACAGCGGCGGTGTGACCTTAGACATGGCAGGGGTGTGACCTCAGCCACCGAGGTGGTGTTACCTGACCCGCGGCAGCATCGATCAGCCACCATGATTACCTGGGACATGGATCGCCATGCTGCTACCCCAGGCACAGCGGCAGAGGTGCCGCCTCCCGCCCCATGCTGGTGTCACCCCGGTCCCCACGGCGGTGCCACCGCACCCGTGGCGGCAGGGTTACCTCAGCTCAGCGTTCCAGCTCTGCCCTGCCCTGTTAGCCCCGGCCAAGACGGGCACAAACCTCTTGCACCCAGCTGGCCCCCTGCAGCCTCCCCGGGAGGCAGCGCCGGCCTCGGTCTCTGCTCTACCGGGCCCGGGGCGCCCGGCGGAGCAGGCGGCGTTTAGCGGACTGGGGCTCCCCAGGCGTTGACGCCTCCCCTCGGGGGTAGGGATTTGCAGACGCCCCCTAGGCCCCGCCTCGGGCGGCTGCCCTTGACCCGGCGGGGCGGCGCGCTCCGCTCTGCGCTACGGCACTTGGCAGACGCTCCCTAGCGCCTCCACGGGGAAAGCGCCGCTCCGGTCTGCGCTTTGCGTAGCGGCGGCACTTGGCAGACGCTCCCCGGGCCGTTCCTCCGCCTTCGCTCTGCGCCGGAAGCGGGA